ACGACGCTTGCGCTCTCCATAACGCCTCCCGCTTTTGAAAGTTGAACCTCGTACCTCTTCTTCTACGGGTCCAAGATCAGTTTCTTTGGCGGCTGCGTTCTTCTGCTACTTCTACGAACAACAGGTTGTGTTGGCCGACTGTCTACCTTGGGCGTCGGATTCTCAGAGGTATCACACAGTAGGTCGAGTGCAACTTGACTGTCTGTGGTGAATCTAGTCCTGAGCTGGTTAGTATACCTCTTGACTTTTCCAACTGGTGTCTCCACCTCGAACACAACGCCTCTGGATTTTCTTATTATACCCTCTACCCAGTGCTTCTCTCCGGCTTTGTAGTTTCGAGCAAACGCCTCTTCTCCCTCCCGAAAGTAGTGTTTTGCGAAACTCGAACTTCTGATTGTAGGTACTATGGTCGTATGTCCGGCTGTCGCCCCAAAAATCCCTCGGCTGGTGTCTGGCCTCCAAGATCATTTTTTGGAGTTGTCCTATAGACAAAAAGGAATGCCTTGAGGTACTCCGGTTTAACGCCAGTGTTCCACACCTTTTTCATTGCTCTCTTCAAAGTGTCGACGAAACGTTGTGCCTGGCCACTCGAGCGTGGATGGAATGGTGGTGACGTCACATATCGGATCCCCCATTTCTGGCACAGTTGTTGGAAAAGTGATGACATGAACTGAGTGCCTTCATCCGTCACAATCTCCGGGAGAATGCCGCTTCTGGCTATGAGTTCTTCTGTCTTCCATGCCGTGATGGCAGAAGTAGAAGTAGCTGCCGCGACGTCCAAAACTTGCAGTCACTTTGGACGTGCATCGACAACTATTAGAAACATTTAATTAAAAAAGGTCCCGCGAAGTCCATAAGGACTCCACTCCAAGGTGTCGTCACCTCAGGCCATGGCAGGGGCGGTACTCTCGGTGTGTTCTTTGTCTCACGTCCACACGGGCCGCAGCTTCGAAAAAAGATTCTACGCCGTTATAAATTCCCGGCCAGTATACGTACTTTCGGGCCAGTTGTTTCATGCGGGTCATACCCTGATGTCCGGCATGGAGTTGCAATAAGACGTGTTTCTGATATCTGGCTGGGGTCACCACTTTACCATCACACATTATGCAGTCTTCCGTGATATACAACTGTTCCTAAAGGGTGCACCTTATCGTCGCCGGGCCAACCGTTTCTAATAAATTCCTTCACCTGGCTCAAGAGGGGGTCTGCTGCAGTGGTGGCCATGATGTGCTCAGCTGCGAGTGGCAACTGCCGGATGGCACCTCTAAACTCGTCGTCATCTTGTATTAGCGTGCTGGCGACAACCACGTCTTCTGGATTTTCGTTGTCTGCGCCCAGTTGTGATAAGGCGTCCAAAGCCCCGAACTTCTGCGTGGGCACATACAGGACCGTAAGGTCATAGTTTTGATGAATTGCACTCCAGCGCTGTATTCTCCTAGCTAAGTTCTCAGGAAAACCACGGTTAGTACCCAAAAGGAACTTCAACAGTTGATGATCGGTATGCAGTGTGAAAGGTCAGCCATAAATGAACAGGTGGAATCTCTGCATGGTAAAGATAATGACCAGGGCCTCCTTCTCGATCTGGCTATAATTTCGTTCTGACTTCGTCAGTGACCTGGCGGCATGCATGATTGGTTGGATTCTCCCATCTGCGCCCTTCTGAAAGAGCACGCAGCATAAAACCTAATCAGAGGCGTCCGCTTTAACAGTGGTGTCTTTGCCAACCTCGAAGTGCGATAGCATAGTCGAGTCGCATATCTGTGTCTTTAGATGCGTTTTGACATTCTGGAGACCAAACAAATTCCACTTCCTTGCTCAAAAGTCGGCTGAGTAGAGGTTTTAAACAACGCAACCAAGTGATGAAGGGGTCTTAGTAACTGACCAACCCCATAAACGATTGCAGCTCCTTCGTTTTCTTCGGCCATTTCATGTTCCGGAATGTTTTCAATCTCTCTGGGTCGGGTGCACGCCCATTCTCGTTGACTATGAACCCGAGGCTGTGAATCTCCTGCAAAGATCAACTTTTCTTCATATTGATCTTAAGGCCGTGGTCGATCGGATTGTCCACAGACTGGTCTAGCCTTTAAGTCAGCCCTTCTCCTGAGCTACCAACGACTAAAATATCGTCCAGATATGCAATAGTCCCGCGGAAATTCGTAAGCATCGAATCCATGATCCACCAGATCACACTATGCGTCGTTTTCATGCCGTAGTTTAGACGAGACCCTTGTGCGTGTTGATGGTCAAAAGTCCGTGATTTCTCGTCCACCTAAATTTGTAGGTAAGCCTCGGATAGACCAGTCTTTGCAAAGACCTTCCTCCCACCTAGACTAGCAAAAATCTGCTCAGGTTGGCGGGGGGTAGCGATAATCTCCTAGCTCGTCGTTCAAGCCCCTAGAATAACCCGAACACAATCTTATTTGTTCGTTGGGTTTCTTCACCGCAACGACTGGAGCAGCCCAAGCTGAATAGTTGGTAGGACAGACTATGCCTTTTGCCTGTAGTCTTTCTAGTTCAGTTTCTACGGGCGACTGTCCCACAGACAAGACGCGTTGGCTCTGCTTGAAAACTGGCTTTGTCCCCGGCTTCAATCTCAGACTTATCCTCGTCTTCGTGCACCTGCAGGCCGCGTTCTTCATCCGTCCTATATACTTCTCCTCCAGGACCTCTTCGGTAGTGTTGTGCACTGCGCTGCAAATTTCGTCGATGAGACAGTTCCGCAATCCCATTTAGGGGATCGTTTTGTTTCGAGAAGATTTTTACGCGTTTTCGACACATAGACATCTGCGAGGCAAGTCCTATTTCGAAAACTGACAATCGCCCGAAAAACGCCTTCAAATTCCATACGCGTCTCATTTGACGCCCATTGTATGACCTCTGATAGTCTCAATTCTGGAGAACCGATATCCCTCCACGCGCGCATGTTGAATATGGCATTGCGCAATAATTTACCGTACTAACAACACAGGTATTAGCTAAAAGCCCAGACACGCGTGTTTCGCCGATCTTGTGCCGCTGCCTGACGCAGCTGCGAGGGGTTCGGCTCGTCAGTGGGTCCCCCAGCTTTCCCCGTGTGTTTTCTGGTATATGAACTCCAGTTTCAACTTGCCTTGCTTAATTTCCGAGGAAATTAATGCGCGAACTTGGAGTAACTCTTTCGAAACAGGCCTTTTCAGGCACGGTCCGAAATTTGATATGAATATTTGAGCTGAAATCCATCAGCTACTGCGGAATAACCGTTTAATATTCGCAAACCGCCAACAGGCAGCCAGTAGTATAGCATTGTGCAATAATTTACCGTACTGCTACTATACTACTGGCGCGTACGCACATAGATAGATAATTTTTATTAAAGACCCGTCGGGGTCCCATCAAAGCTGCATCTTCTGGCAACGTCAACGACTTAATGAAAAATAGTAATTTGTCGATACAGGCGAAAATGCGAGTTTCAGGAACTAGTTGGTAAGAAGTACGAGCGATCCTTGGAACAATGGCTTTATTCGCCTGACGTTTCCGATTCTTATTTGAACCCATCATCAGGGACAGTGGCAGAAACAGGCGATTCGTGCACAGGAAGTTGCAGTATTTATAGGATGCAGTCGCTATGCTGCCGCACACCTATAGTAATTAACCGCGCTCCCCTTCATCAAGAATTGCTGCCCGCTGATGCGCCAATTGCTTGATGGCCGGCATGCAAGTTGTTAATTGCTGAAATCTCATCACCCGTGTTGGATGCTGGAGTGACGATTGCCCGGCCATCTGACTCACCGGCTTGCACGCTCCCCAAGTGGTCAATGACCTTGGCCAGTCTATGCCTCAGCACGGAATATGGAGTGAGGATGTCGTCGCACTTGTTGATAGACTGAGGCCCCATGAACCATCACCCAAGCAACTCGCGGCTCGTGCGATTATCCCCTTTCGCGAGAATTTCGGCCTCGTCAAACTCGAATGTGCGGCCGGGCCTCGTCGAATGGGCCGCGACCTGAGAGTTGGCGTCATTTCTCCGCACCGTCACCGCGTGTTCGGCACTTCGCGTCCGGAGCAGTCTTCCAGTTTCGCCGACGTAGTTGCTTTACCCGCAACTGCACCAGATCAGATAAACGACTCCAGACGTTTCTTGCCGTGGCAGTGGGTTTTTTCGTCTCATCACCCGACGTCTTATGGTGCCCTCCGGTCTGTGTGCAACTCCAACCCCGAGTGGTGTGAGAAGGCGACTAACGCTGATGGCCTGTTCTAGCTCGGCTTGCTGAAAATTGTCATTCACCTGACCGGCCAAATCAAAATAGTCTTCTTCAGGCTTACGTTCTCGTTTAAAACACTCAAAAAGTCGATAGAATAACGACTTTGTAAAACAAGGTAATGTTTTCAAATGCTCGACCGTGTCCTTAAACGAGACACCTGACGATTTCTGAGGTAGAATAAGCTTGCCTTATCGCTGGTGTTCCCGCTGGGCCAGGTTTAGCAGCATGATTTCCACCTTCGTCTTGTCACCGAGTTCTCCATAACACAAAGTAATCAGCCAGACCCGAAGTGCGCAGGCGAATTATTTCCAGAGGCAGTTTTAGAAAGCCAAGTTGTCGAGCCATTATCGCACCAATAACCAATACCGGTGAAATGGGTGCGGCAATGAACTACTCGAATGCGCGTGATCAAGCCTTCAATGCCCAAAGCACGACCATCTGTGATGAAAGTGAGAGCCGCTAATCTCAATAAGTACGTGATTGCATCGCAACTGCTTCTTTAAAAAATACTGCAATCCTTGTGTCCAATGTCCCCTATTCGTGGTCGCCTCCGATTATTCCTTCGAACGTGAATCCGAAAGATGGGGAGAGCAAAATTTAAGTCACTGACTATTGAGTCAAGCATAAATAACTAAGAGTAATAAAAAAAACCAGACGTCACAAGCATTTCAAACGTGAAGGGCTCAAATAGATCAAGGGTCAGCGCATTATGTTAGACAGCTGGCATAACGGCTGGTTACACATCGATGGAAAAACTAATCAGTTAGGGTTTTTGTGTGACTTTTGGGTCGGAATGAACTTCATATCCACAATAAGCGCCAAATGGTCGCTAGGGAACTGGGAATTTGGCAGGGTCAGGCCACCTTCTGTCTCGGTGCACAGAGGACGTAAGATGGTGCTGTCCCGCTGCAAAGCTTCCTTGCCTGCTGCGTAGATCTCCGCTTCCGTGGGTAAAGGATAGTCCCGGAGGACGGTGAGATCACCCCGGGGATTGGTGAAGAGAATGTTGTCTATGCACGCCTTGAACGAAGGCACTAGATTTGTGAATGCGTCAGCTTTGAACGTCATCGCCGATTGGAAAGGCGACAAGGTGGAATTGGTCGAAAGACCTTCTTGAGTCAGTGCAGGTGGATCTCCAAGAGAACTTACGAGGTGTTGAAAGGGCAACGAGTCCGGCGAGGTATTCAGATCCGCACCAATGATTGTCGGCAGAGGCACTCTTTAACGAAAAAAAGACCACAAAATTTCTATTTTTTGTTGGTCAAGCTGCCATCACAGGCCTGTTTCCTATACCGAGATCTTTTTGTAAGAATGGCCTTGGGCAATCAATAAATGCTCGGGACTTAACTTCCCTTTTCCGGCGCCAAGAATTTAAGAACAAATGCCGAAATGTGCTGAAAAGCAACGAAGACTAGTAAGTATGTGTGGGACTATCATGTCCTTTCCTCAAAAAGTTCTAAGTTGATGCCGTTCAAAGGCGCAAAGAAGACCAGAAATTGTAGGTCGCGGTCGGTGTACTCTAGAAGATGTGATGGAAGTAAGCAAACTGCAGTCATTGCATAGAATTACAAGTCAATAGCAACCGACATGGACTACTAAACAAGACAAAACGAAGGGCCCTTGTGGCTATGGCGAACAGATTTCAGACAATGGAAGTGCCCACTATCATGAGTATGACAGTTTTAGTTAATCCGCGTTTTCGACATTAAATCTGTCAGTCAGTTTATTAAAATGAGCAGTTCTCGTGATAAGGAATTTCGCCGAACAACCACTGCTTATGACATTGCGTTTCTGATTAGCAACTGCGTTTTCAGATAGGAACGTCAGAAGGCTCCCGGCGCTTCAGTGGTTGAAAATGAAGGTCACAAAGTGGGCCCGAATCGCCCATCTTAGGAGTGAACACCTCACCAGTTTAGGCAACAAACTAGTCAAATCAAGTGGGGAGACTGGCCGTTCAGTTCAGTCTCGTGAAAAATATTTTTCGGTTGCAAAAGCATATACACTTTCGGCCAAGGTCGCCCGAGTCACATTGCGTGTCGCTTTTGTAGCCTTTTTTAAAACAGAGCGGCCCTTCTTTTTGGACCCCACCTTAGTAAATGCGCACCGTTTGAAACCCCCAATTCGGCCAGCAAAACCGACCAAACGCGCGCAAGCGAACTTCGTTCGTCAGTAGGAGGTAAACACAATTTTACAAAAAGTCGTGGTAGCTACTGGCCACAGTACTACCGAACTTGAAATACCCGGTCGAAATTCGGAAGCCAATGAGTTTTTCAGGTGTTTACAACAGTTAGATAACATGAAAACCTTTAGAACCTCAATGGCTAGTCAAACGAACTAGTAGAGAATGCTTCCGCAAGTCGAAATGCACTTCGATCCGCGGTCGAGATCTTAGTGTTGACCCAACAGAAAATAAATGCACGAACGAAGGGGTCAAATAGACAACTAAAACAACTACTGAAAACGTTAAAGTACACATATCCAGTTGCTTACATATTTCCGGATGAGTCGGATTCCGCGGTCGCATTCTCGGTGGCGAACTCCGCAAGGCGCCGTCTGGTAAAAGCACTCTGCACACAGCGCAGCTTGTACGCATCCGGGTGAAAGAAAAAGTGAGTAGACGCCACGACCAACCGGTGGGGTTGTGAAGTCCTGAGCGTTTCAAGCGCACATGCCAGGAGGCCTTGTGACCTGCAGCGGTACATGTGACCAGGATCAAGGTCGCCACTGGAAGCGATGTGTTCAATCTGAGCGGCAAGGTCTTCGTACTTGACTTCAGCCTCATTAATGATGGAGTCAACTGTAAGCTTATTTACTAGCTTAAAGCGATCCCTCTTGAAAAAGATGGCAACACCCTCAGCCTAGTTATCAAGACAGAATGCAAAGCGGGGTTTGAGTCGAGGGTTCGCAGATATATGAGCAAAAACGTAGAGCTGAATAAAACAGCGAAGACACGTACACTGACAAAACAAATGAGTGCATGTAACTTTCAAAGTCAAGAACCTATGGTGCTCACAAACAATTTCCGACATGATATGGAACCGTCGATGTGAAAACAGATTGAACAATGGAATTCTAAGGAGTGAATTTAATTTCCGAGACGTTAGTCTGTTCCAGGCTCCATTACTGGGCAATCAAAACAGGTGAGGTTTATTGAAGTGCAAGGTTCTGCACAAGTAACGAACCGCAACCGATTGATATGAACCAATTACCTCCTTAGACGCGACGTAAACTAATATTTCGCTGAATTCTGGAAAGAGTCCTAGCTAGCCAGAAATCGAACTGAGATTACACAAGTGCCAGGTAATAATTACGACCGAAAACGCCTACACTCTTATGAACTAATTTATCATTCATTTTCTGCCTGATTAATGAACGCCTCTCAAGAGGCCCAATCATGAAATAACTGCAATTTGTGAAGAATAATTGCTCGGATCTAAATGTCAGAGTAGTAAATAAGTTGTATAGCCGACACCTCTGTACTAAAAACTCGTAGCCTCATTTTCACCAAAACGGGAGCTTGCCGACAAGAAAATGGGCTCCCAGAAATATTGCACTGTCTGCTGGGACGTCTATTTGCCTATATTGTCACTAAACGAGGAGAGACAACCTTCAGGAATTATTCACCTGTGAACCTGACGATGACTGTCACTAGGCTCGAATGTGGAGGAATGGCTATGGCATAAGCTGAATTAAAATGAAGAAGGGTTGGGGGACACAGCCCACTCTCTCGTTTCTCTCATTCGTCATTTTGGGCGGAAAAGCGTAGTCAAGACGCATAGAAATGGCCAGTGGATTGGTCTATCGTGATACTGAACCCCATGTAAGAATGCCGCATGCGCCAGGGCATCATGCACCAGTCGACTGCCTACTAAACTAACTATAGTGCTGAGATTGGGCGTCGTAGCTGACGCGGTGCGTAGGCTTACGTCTGGTGTACTGCTACACCCCCATGTTTAGCAGCAGTTATAGGTTCGTGTGGACTCTGATCAACGCGCGCTGTCAACCAATATGATCCTTTTTTGGCCCAGTGCACTTACGGTGTGATAGTGTGGGGGAATGCGTATGCTTCGTCTACGTCACAACCACAAGATACGAAGAGAAAAGGGGACTCAGCCTGACGTCCGGCAAAGTGCGAAAGCGACTGAGCAGGAGGGACAGCTGAAATGAAAACCAGTCGCTGCCACTAATAACATTTAGTAAGAACACAAATATTCAGTGTAGAGGATAGACATTCAGCACCACTGTGACGGTTCTTTAGCCAGGTAAAGTTACGTGCTCTGAAAGCAATAGGTGGAACTTATCAATATTGTTCGCAAAATCTTGATCTTGGTCTAGCGTGGACGAAAGTATGTTACTTCAAATGTAATCCGGTTTGAATCGGGAGCATCGACTGCGGAGCGTCCTTTTGAGATGCGAGGATGTCAAAACTGCTGATCAGGGATATTTTTCGCAGAGTCATATATCAATCACTGCGATTAACCCAAAAGTCAAGTATGTGATCTACAACAACGTACTTATGTCAACAGTATGAACTTGAACAGATACCACAGGCTCAGCCTTCTGAGTGAGAGCGGGACTCGCCCAGGTTGTCCTAAATAAGGTAATACTCACTTTACGAGGGAACTCTTTTGGGAGAGGTGCATTTGGCTCTGTGGGGGGTTCGACGAGCAGTTTCGGCAGATGAAAGCTATCATAACCGGCTGCCTCTCCAAGCAGTGGTTTCAGGTAACTTTGGTAGTTTGTCGTATCTACCTCCTGCAAACAGAGTACGTCGGCGTTGTAGGCGAGAATTTCGCGGTAAAGAAGCGGAAAGCGGTAGTCCGCTTCGAGATAACTTGGTGGGCAGTGTTTGAAGAAGAACGTTCTCCCTTGCTCAGTGCAGCTGTACATAAAGGCCAAAAGGTTGTAAGAAACTACACGAAACTCCCCAGGACCGGAAAGACGCTCTTTAGTGGCGAAAAACCTGCAGGAATTGGGGATAAACAGAGAAAAACGCAAGTGAGATGGAAGACAGCGAAGCCACGAGGTGGTTGTAGACAAGAGGGAGGGGAGAAGAGTGGTACGATCGCAACATCCCATAGGCCCTCGTAGGTGCTCATATGAGAACAAACACTTAATGGTAGAGGAATATTATCAACAGAGACAGAGGCCATTTCTAACTTATACGCCGTCCTTAGTCGGTCATGTAACCTCACCAAAGACCAGGTGGGTTTGAATGCGGGTCCATTTGGTCCATGCAACATATGCCTTACTCAGTAAGCCAGAAGTTCACACTGCCTGCTGCAATCCCCGCTCCCCTCTCCGCCTCCCCCCAGCCTTACATGTATGGGGGGCACAAGAGCAGAAGGAGAGCACTTGCCGAGAATGATGTAGAACTTGCATGGGGGCATGAGTCACAGCTTTCTTGCAAGTCACAGTTTCACTGAAGAAAGGCAAATCAGGCGGAGAGACCTTCGAGAAAAGACTACAGTCGGCGTCTCCGAATGGTATCCCTGGTCTGGCCCTGTTGTCGTGAGGCAGGACGCGGAGACGTAGGAAGCAGTTCACATGCTCCGGGTTAGGCACAAAGACGAGACCCTCGCTGGTCGGTTCCTGTGGCCATTTGGCGTCCTTGAGGCTCGAAACGGGCTATAAGTGTGTGTACAAAGGAAGCTGGCCGGGGGTCGGTTGGGAGGCAATGTTGTATAACGAACACTGTTGATAAGAAAGGTCTTTGCTGCAAATGTTAGACACTTAAATACGGTGCAACTCTAACAACTAGAACAGTCCTACAAGGTAACTGAGAAATAGTGAAAATTTAGGCAGCCAACAATCGCCTGTTAAGAGACAGGATTGAAGTGTTCACTCCCGAATTCGTGCTAGGTGCTCTGCTTCTGAACTATCGCAACCATGCTAGCCAACTGTGCACTTTCTGGGTGTCGGGACTCCCTATTTAGCATTTAACTGTATTAGAAACGATCCAATCAGTGCGAACTAAAGTGAAACGTCAGACTACAAAAATATAGTTCACAAAAGGCAGTAAATGGAAGTTTTTTGAGGTATCATAGGAAAGCGAGGACGCCACTGGCCGATATAAATCCGCTGTGCACTGTGGAAGGAAGAATCCCTGGTTTTTTCAACTTTATAATGCAGTGAGTGACCGATCTCATGAAATATTGGCCGAAATTCTGAAAGGCGTTTTTAGTAGGACGGGTTACTTAGGTGGCGTTGCAATACTGATCATCATGCGACATAATCCTATAATATTTCGGACTAGCGTGAATGTAGGCCTGTGAATGCACGTCTTCTCGACTTCCTGTGGAAACTGCACTCGGTAAAGATGACCACTTAAGTAGCATAGATTTTTCACATGGATTTTCGATGGTCTTATAAATTCAAATATGTGTTGTAAAAACATTCACAGGCCTACATTCACGCTAGTCCGAAATATTATAGGATTATGTCGCATGATGATCAGTATTGCAACGCCACCTAAGTAACCCGTCCTACTAAAAACGCCTTTCAGAATTTCGGCCAATATTTCATGAGATCGGTCACTCACTGTAGGAGGTAGTTACCAAATGCATCCAGCTACTTTAGAGTTAGTTCCAGAACTATCAAAGCTTGAAACAGTATGGATGGAAGGTAGCCAGATAGGGTCAGGTCTAAAAAAATACGGAAGGCGAGAAAGCATTGTCAGACCCTCCTTACTAGATTTGCTAGATGTAACGTCTGTTGACCAGCGATTATCGCCTAAGGGTGATTGCCTCAACAAGAAATCACCTAAATTTCCTTTGTTGGTGTGACCTGGGCTCGTGTGCTTCAGAGAAAGGATTACTAGACCAACGTAACAATCGATCTGTCCAAACGTTGTCGTGCCCTATTCCCTTATTATTTCCAAGCAGAGAGATATCAAGGAAGCACCTTTCAAGAGGGGTTTATCCAACAGCCAAATAGGAAAGGAAGAAACGAGTGCAAATAACAGTTGTAGTTCGTTTCGATCGGTTTATGCGGACGTCAGACCTGGAAGCATAGGCTCACTGGGTCAAGCTTTCGGGTTCTCAGTAAACTTATGGTTTCAAAGTCGGGCACATTTGCATTACCTCGACAAACATCTGCACCTCAGTTAACCACCGGTATACGTGTTTTTTTACTTCTGATTACAAAAAAATAAATCAAAAAGTACTATAATCTGAAAAAGCGTTAGGAATTTCAGACAATATGCTCTGCAAATGGCAGTTCGACTGTAGCGAACGACGACATCCACTGTATGCCTCGCTGCATAGAAGGCGCAGAACGGTGACTTACACGCTGCCTGCCGCACTTTCTCCCTCCTCATTCTGCTGGGCTCGATGGTAAGATAGTCAGGACAACTGAAGGCGGTCTCAGACGCGTGGATGACAAAGTTAGATAGCTCCCCTACGCGTGTCACAAGACCTATTTCCCACACAATGTGTCAGGTTGTCCTAGCATGAATAAAGTAGCAATAAGTCCAGTGAGAGCGGACAAGAGCGAAAGGACAGTGAATGTGGGTATGGCAGTGTACGAGAGGGATAAACAGGTAGTGGATTGGTCGGATAGTCCCATGTGCTTGTTCACTCAACTAATAGACGACGGCAACCTCCATCGGAGTCGGTCATGTCTACTCTGAGCGCTCTATGTCGGTATTGTTGCGGATGCCAACATATTAAACAGGCATATTTGAAGACTTTAGCCCGTTAGAGTGAGGTTTTTGAATGTGATATTCATGCTGGTGTTGCGCTGAGTATGTATGGGTCCTAGCAGGTCAACCCGCGTATGAAAAATGAGTCGAGTTGGCGAAGGGCTGTGAGGGAGCGCTGCGTGTGACATCTGTCGCACCTTTCATTCCCACTCTATGCTCCAGCCGAATTACTGGGTCAGGACAACTGGTGACGACCCTGAGCTCCGTGACTGAATAAAAAATACTCCCCCACACATATTCCTGCCACAAGCAAGAAAGTAATCTTTCATGCTCGGACACAACGAGGACACAGGGCGAGCATTTAACAAGACAAGAGAGAGAGAGAGAGAGAGAGAGAGAGAGGCGTGCTCTTGCCAAGCGTTCGCTATCAGCAGTAACCTCTAAATGAAGCGCGACAGCTCAAAAACAGTAAGTGCGATGATGACCCATCAACCAGGCATCCTTCTCCCAGAGTTGTGTGGAGGTGCTACATGCGAGCGGAAACTTACTGGGCAAAAGTTCGGCGGTTAGGGCTGGAGGCGACGACAAAAAGCAACAAAAGAAAAGTTTAATAGATTTGCTATTTTACGAAATGTTGACGAAAATTTTGAAATGTCTCCGATTCGAAAAGACTGCTTAAGTAAGGTTACAACAATGATTATCGTGCAGCATAATCCTAAGACATTTCAGACACGTCAGGATGACGGCTTTTTAACAAGCTCCTTTCCGACCGTCCGCAAAAACCACACCTGACGAAAATTATTGCTCAAATAGAAGGGATTCTTCATATTGATTTTCGATGCCCTAATACATTCAAATATATTTCCTAAAAACCCATGCGCAAAAATGGTCCTCACCGCACTCATCGGATAGAAAACCACGTCCTTCAATCTTATACTTCCAGTTTTAAAAAGGTTTCTGATTATGAGATCTCTTAGGACCGCAAAATATGCAGTCATACAGTATCGCATCAGCACGTTAAGTAATGCTGTTTATAAAGTGGACAACATGGCCAACACTCATTACAAAATTTTATGAGCCATATATGAAATCTGTTTTAATAGCAAATAGAAATGTATGATTTTCCTAACATGGAAGGCGCACAGCTCGTCGTTTGGAAACCCCGAATGCAAGTGTAACGGCAGGTCGGGTTCAAGATGGCCCCGAAATTGAAAATGCTCTTTTAGAACCGATTGATACCGCATCACCAGGCATAAAATTTGAAGGCATAATTTGCTACCAATGAGTAAATATTTGACTTTATTTAGATTTATAAGGATATTGTGAATAGGTGGGAAAATCCACACTACTTAAGCAGTCACTTCTTAAGGAATGTAGCTTACGCAGGCGGCCTCCTGACGTGGCTGGAATAGTTTAGGAGTATGCTACATAATAGTTAATACGACAGCAGTACCTACGTAATCTTTTCCAAACGAAATCACACTCCAAAACTTCGGTTAATATTTCATGAGATCGCATATCTACTGGAATCTAAACTCAGACGGCGGCAGGCCCTCACCTTGGAGACAAACCACTGGAATTGGGAGTGTTCCAGGGAGAAGTTTGTGGCATCTAGGGCAGGTAGGATAGGACAGCCAACCTGGGGAAGTAAATTCAACGAGCAGGACTTAAGCCAAGCTGAAAAGAGTTGGACATCCACATGGAACTGGTGCTTCTTAGGCTCGGATCCACTACCGCAAACCTCACAAAATATTCGCAACTGAAGTTCCTGTTCGCTGCCAAGGAAGGCCTCCTTCAGGGTCAAAGAAGGTTTCACTTCCTCGGGAGAGGAGTCAGGGTTGGACATTAATTTCATTTGGGTGGTCTGTAACCGGTGGATGGCAGAGCCTGGCTTCTCTTTCACTGCGTGGAAGTAGTTGTTGAGATTTTTCGTGAAACGTTCAAAAAATGAAGAGAGCGCCTCGCTGGAGTCCCGTTTGGAGGCAAATACACGACCTTCACGGACCGGCAGGTCGCATGAATGCCTGGGAAAGAGCGGGAGGTGAAACTGGATCTTGCCATCCGTGCCTTCCACTGGGTTGACAAAAAGGCAGGACGGGTGATGCAGTCTAGTGCAAATCATCCTTGCGATAAAAGGCCAGTTTCTGGTGTGGAATGATGGTAAGTGGGATGCGAGATGTGCGGGGTAGAAGCGAACTGAAATTGCACTCGAGCAAACTTTATGCATTCAACCTTTGGCACGCAGAAATGACCTAAAAAAGAAGGCGCAGAAGGTGAAAATACAATTATTGAGTGGGTAGAAAAGTCATTTCAGCAGTTTCAGTTAATTCAGATTTCCAACCAACAGACAGTGCACACTCACAAACGCCAGATGACAGGTGGGGAGGAGAGCGAGGCAGAAGTCAGGGAAAGCCTAGCATTCGGGAAGCCGTGAAATAAACAGGAACAAAAACGACCACACCGCTTCATGAAAAGACAATAGTGACTTACACAGAAGGTTGAATTTGTCCCTTGCACGTTCTGATTAAACGTCTAACCGTTATGGTACCACATCTACACTACTGGCGGGGCGTTCGTGTAAACTTGCAAAACAAACACATGGAGTTTTGGACCGGTTAGCAGGACAGAGATTCGAAGGGTGAGAGCCAAGAGGGCTAATGGATGGCAGGGTGAAGACGCCCAATGAAGCAAGCCACGGTGGCGAAAAAGAGGTAATCCTTCAGTAAAACCCTTCCCATTTTCCTCAATTTGCATTGTCCGAGGTTAAAACTCACATAAAGAACGCTAGGATCTATTATTTCATCAGCGTTTGCGGCTCCGACTAAGTGCAACACATCGTCACGACAAAATACTCTTTTATGGCAGGACTAAACCGATTCCTACTTCAAAAATAGATAGAAAAAGTCCCCTTTAATTACCTTCAAACTTAGTAGGAAATTGCAGCCTTAGGACAGTGGGTTAGTGACTTATGCCAAACACCGCGTGACGGTGTTTGGAACGTTTTGTAATTACGATTTCCCTGTTTTTAGGACATAACTGCTTTTCCCGCGAATGCACCGGATCTAGCAAATGACTTCAGACAATTTTTACGGTAAACAAGATTCATTTGACCCCATTGCTTGACGCCGAATGGTTGTCCCCAGTGGTGGGAGAGGCTGACGGTTTCCGAGACGTTCCTGACGCACGCAAGCCCGGGTCATATGTGTTTTGACCCCTAGCCTCATCGCTGCATGTGCCGGCTGGCGAAGCTGTCCGGGTTGCCGTTCGTTCTGAAGACCCAGAACACCGGCAGAGCACCCTAGCGCAACTGCGGTTGCAGGGGGTGGAGAGGTTGCTGTTGGAGCTCCGTAACTGTGTCGTATGTCGCAGGTATAAGGACTCAAAAAGCAGTTTCTGGCCTATTTGTTGACGTCAGTCAGTCGTACGAAAGGCGCAAGCTGAGGAAAGGCGCGCTATCCACCCGTTTTACTAGGTTAGATGCTCCGCAAGTACGCCACAGAACTACGCTCTGTTGTTTGCAATCGACAATATTAAAAGCTCCTCGGAGACAGCGTTAGTGGGCTATCCTGACCGCGGGAAAGAATAGGTGCAACCCGACCAACCTGGATTCATAACACGGGACTAATAAAGGCAGTGACAATACCATCAACGATTACTAAAGTGCTGCCAAAAAGGCTTACTAGATTGGAGGCACGGAAGTGTTTAAGGCACGATGGCACGGAAGTGTTTAAGCCATGACATGACCGAATTCGACGTCGTACACATCTATTCCGAAAGTGTTCTTGAGAATTGCTCTGTGACCCTTTATGGGCGGGAAGGCACGGCATCTCTGATGCCACATAGGAGGAATAAACGACATGCAAGGCAGACTGGGGGGCATTCAACTCTTGACGCGACCGTTCGACCGTAGTGACCGACGATGTCCACCGTATGCCCCGCGGCAGAAGGCAGGCACGGTGACTTGCGCGTGACAGTAGACTTGCGAAACGTCTACCGCACTCTCTCCTACTCCGCCACCCGGATCCCGTGCCAAGACAGTCAAGAAGACCGCAGGCAGGAGAGGACGCAGGGGGGTGGCATGGCGTAAAGCCGAACCTAGGCGCACCATCACCCCCTGGTCCACGAAAAACACTTGACCAGGATTTTAACCTGCAGCTGGGCCTGCCACTACATCCTGTGTTAGTCCAGCGCATCTATTGCGTGGCCCGTTTGAGGGGCAACAACTCTTGACACAACGTTCCAAACGCTGCCACTGAAAAAAATTACTGGTAACGATCTAGCCGAAAATGCAGAAATGTCGGCTCAGAGCACCTTCTGAGCACGCCAACTCCTAGCAGTGCTCCTCCAGGTCCTGCTCCCGCGCTGATCGGATTCACAGTGGATAACCAAACTGGTGATCAGTCAGGCGTACCTCAGACGTTCTGCAATTTAATTGTTAGACCAATACGTCATGTAAAAAACTTCTTTCTCACAGAGACTTTTTCGAAGTTACTAACAAAAATTGTGCACTCAGGTAACTGCCTCTGCATTTGTGCATGGTTGTCCAGTACGGGATACAAATGTAGACAGGAAAGGTTACATGGAAGACACATTTGTCATCCTCAGGAAGAACATGCCGCGAATTGATTGTGACCTAGGCCTCAGACGAGAAGTCAGTCAATCGATGTACTGATATGGTGCCTGCGCAGCAACCTCTGGACCGATGTCACCGGTGTTGCTTGTTCTGCTGTCGTTTTTATCTCTGGCAATGAACTTCTGTACGAGTTTAAGAGCCTTGACAAATAAAGAAATGGTTCCGGCGATCGAACCGCCTTCTTCTTCTCTACTTATACGTCCACCTGAAATGCGAACATTCGCCCCAATTTGTAACCTAGGTCAATTTGAAATCCGTTTTTTTTCAGACTGTGCGAATCGGGTGGGCACCTTGGTTTCCGAAAAGCAGAGCCCTTTCTGCTTTGAACTCTGATTTTGTGCCCTTAACACAGTCATACCGACAGCAGGCCATCTTTTGTTCTGGCATACCCGTACTTTTCAGAAACAAGCATTGCTGAAGTAACGCGAAATGACCGACTATAGAACTTTCGCACATACAGTGGAAGGTTTCTCACGCCGCCAAATTTCGGTTGATAAGCAGCTTGGAAACGAGACGGCCTTCGTTTTGGTCATTTAATGACTACTTTAATGTTTCGATGGTCACTCTAGTCGACATTTATAATTATGGAGTATGACCTAAAACTAAGCGGAGGTTCCGAAAGAAATGGGGATTATTGATCATATCGGCAGAAAGATATTCAGTATGGGGTGGGAAACTGTAAGGAAGGGGATGATGTTTTAAGTTAATTTTTGGAAGAATTAATGAAAGTGGACATTCGTATAAATATCTAAGCGAAGCAGTCTTAAAGAGGTAACTTATTAGGAAAGATTTTCATTGAATTACAGACACATTCCTCCTAGGCCTTCGTCCTGGATTTCTTCCATGGTAGGTTTCCATATTTAGATTAGTCTACAAATATGATCCAAATCATCATTTAAAGTGAAAATAACGTCGGAAAACTCGCTATATGGTCGAAGGCTCCCAAGGACTACCCTATTTTGAAGGTTTGGATAAATGCAAACTATATCAGCCATCTTTCCGGGCAGTCAATTGCGAATATGAAAAACCACAAAGTTTTCATTGAAGTTTCAAGGACGTCTTAAAACCCACCGAACTTCACCGTAGTACGGATAACTGAATACTCACTATCGCATTAGTCAGTCACATCAGGTGACGTAGTTCATGAAAAAAGAGCAATTAGAGAAAATTCACTAACCAAAAATTCTAATTAACTAACAAACACGAAAAAAGTATCAGCGGGGAATAACAGACCTGTCAAGAAAAGCTAAATGCAAAAACACGAAAATTTGTGTCAAGTAAGTATATTCGAAGCAAATAAAGCCTCCCATCAAAATAACTGAGTTAATAAAATAACACAGGCACAACGTGTAAAAGGGCTTTTTACGCACTCTTCAATATTCACCATAAACTAGTGTAAGATGCAGTGTGGCAGCCAGCCAAGGTAGCGTTACTAGAATTCGATACAGTTTTCCTCTTTTTGCACCGTTTGTGGTGTGGCCGACTAAGGCGATTAAATGTTTGCTTGAATTCGCAGATAGGGATATCGCAGGAGTGCTTTTTAAAAGGTCAGACATCGAGGTCGGGCAGTAACTAAGAAATTCGAATGTGATTGGCGAACGCAATCATAAGCATAACAATCATTTGTTCATAAAATTCTTGCCCGTTTTTTGACGATAGTTGATCCCACAGGATTTCCTAATACCGTCGAAATGCCAGTGAGCGCTTTAGTCCGTTCAGTGTTCACAATCGACTACACAGAACTATAGGGTCTGTAGTCTGTGTCTATCACAATTTTCTAAAAGCTAGTTTTTGAAAGTAGTGAGTTCTTGGACGATCTTTTTAGTGCTAACGGCTGTTTTGGTCGTATTTGCAAACTGACGAAAGCATGAAACTTAATCGTCGTAAAAAAAAGTAGAATCTCCTAACGGAGGTCTACGAATTATTTGTTCTTGAGCAAAATATTTAATAGGTTATTCCTTAAAAGCGCTTTACTGGGAGTATTTCGTTGATAAATATCCACGTCATTCCACGCTTCCCAAGGTAAGGTCGAAGAAAAAATGGGACGCTTTGCCCATTTATGCACTTAGGTGACAGATACTGACGAGTACTCCGCTGCAAACAAAAACTCCCTTTTCTACTTATGTCGAGGCCACTTACGTTATTCCTGCGTACCTCTAGGTTACGTTCTGAGATAACACACTCACAACAGGATCGCTACAGATGCTGGGACATTGCTGAAACTTTCAGCTCCCTAAAGTACGTATTACCAGAGACTAAACCTCGCAAAAAGTACAATGCCACACACTAAACTTAAAATGGTCGTTCGCAGGTGCGCCTTTCGGTAGTTATTTATTGAGTATTTGCCTGTTCCCGATATTGGGAGTACGTTAAGACAAACGATTGTCTTTGGGCGTTATTACTAGTGTTGAGTGAGCAAGATTACAGAGTAACAGACAGAATTTTTAATAAGGAACCTTCTACTATTCTCAGAATATCATACTTAAGTGAGACCAGACGCGGATCCTGCCTCGGCTACTTTGCGCTGAAAAATCAGTTTTTAAGTTGCGAAATTTGGTTTGGTAAATCTTTCCTGCGTAGATCGATACTCTCTAATCAAGGAACACACAATAATATCCCAAAGTGATCTAGTATTTTAAAAATATTATGCACAAGATTCCGGGAACTCGTTAAGTAAAATGTCCAACGAGGTGCATGGAATGACTTTAATCATTATGTTTCGTAGGTTACGTCAACTACTCCTGTATGTCCCAGTTCCTTATTGACTGGTCGGCCTCTTGGCACGTGACCTTATGAAAAACATTTGCTTCTGCGAAGTCGCCACCCATGAACTGAAAAAAGCATTCTCCGCGGTCCTTGTTAGGCCGATGCTAGACAGTGTTACAAGGTGATATTTTGATTTTCCGTTCTATATGATTCTGAAAATCTTCGCTAGAGTTGACTGGCCGTCACACTGCATATTGCACTAATCCTTGGGGCATATCTATTCCGAGATGTACCCAAAGGGTTTCTCAAAATGTTGCCATGCTTATGCTGTTTCATTTATTCAATTGTTTACATGGTCATGCACTATGTACTTCGCTGAAGAAACTTGATAATTTGACATGTACTTTTGCACTCACCGCGTTTCCGCTTTGCCTTTAAAGTTTTGTCTCTAAGTAATAGTATTCTCAGCAATCATTTTATATTTCAACCTGAATGAAAATCGCTCACTACTAATCGAGAGCTTTAGTTAGGATATTTGGGGCGACTTCTGAGTAGTTAGGGATTTGTCGTGAATCTACGCACATTTCGTGTTATGCCACCTACAGTATTTATGACAACTAATATTTCGAGGCGTATGCAGGATGCAACTTCCACTCCGGATGAAATGGGTCAGGCTTGTGCTTGGCGTCGTCACTGGGATCCTACAATCCGTCCCCAGAAATGCCAGTTCTTAAGTAGCAATCATCTATCATACCTCCAAATTGGTCTGCAGAATAAAGGTCAATGGCGAGTTCATAGAATTTGCCAGCTGTGTGGATTTTGAACTAACAAAAGCCGCCAATCCAGACCTAAAAGGCAGTGTATACGGGCTTTAGCAATGGCAAGCAATGAATTTTCTTATTTAAAGATGCCTTCAGAAGCTTAAGCGACAACAATTCAGCATTCGTGTACAACTCTTACTAAACTCCACTTGGAAATATTGGCCACTAGCGTGGGTCGCACAGCCAGCTTGTTAAGGTTGGGTAGAGGCGGTAGGTCCCGGCGTCTTCTCTATCAGCAATCACATGAATCAAATTTGCAGAAGCATTTCAATAATGTGTCCAAGAGACTTACAAACTCACGACTCAAGCAAGCGACATGCAAGCAGCAAACTACAAGCCCTTCTTATGTGTTACCGGAGGTAGTCACAGTCCAGAGTGGTCGGCACATGTAAAAGTCCGCCTTCCCAACCGACTTGACGTTATATGTCTTCGAATAGGGTTTTACGGCCTACTATATGCAACGGGCGGCATCACACATCATCTGCTTTGTCTGTGCTCGGATATTTCTACCCCTGGCGTGCTTGTACGGAACAAAACAATAGTTCCATGGGTCCCTTTACTGTATGACCAAACAATACGAGTCTACTCGCATACTTCTTTCCATCTGTAGCAGCTGCTCAGTGATTCAGTGTTTCTATCGTCCTCATGCAGAACTTGCTACGCGTCGCCCACTGCATAATTTGGGGTCTTCCCACCTGTCGATTATTGTGGAACAACAGTTTATTATCATTGGAAGAGCAGGGCTGGTTGACTTACAAAACTTGAAGCGCGGGTACAAATTAGAAGCCCAGACACGTGCTTCGCCGATTTTGGGCTGCTGCATGACGAAGCTTCGAAGAGCCCACTGGTGAGCCCAACTCCTCGCAGTCGCGTCATGCAGCGGCATATCGGCGAAACACTTCTGGGCTTTTTCGCTAGTGGCCGTGCTGACAGAATAGTAAATCAGCCAGAATCTTCATACTACTGATCGTCTGTTGGTGGAATGAAAATAAAAGGTGACCATCACGTCAAAGCTAGTGAACTTCAACGAAAATATTTATATCAAGTTTCGAGCCGAACCTGGGGGTTTGTGCCGAAGAATGCATTCCAGGTTCACACATGCACTTCTAGGGGAAGTAACAAGTTTAATCACGTAAAAAACAAAGCCCCTAGATGATGCTCACCGATAAAGACCACAGAGACCGGGTCATTCACGGCCTGTTCTCCGTCATCGATGGTCCATCACACGACCCCGAGCCGGGAAGACCTAAGATCTGGATCAGCGTCCAAAATGTCCACTCTTGTCTCCGCGTTCTATTGTTGGTTGAACTCTGTGGACGTCAATTGTACGTCAGTATGCGAACAGTTGCGAAGGATCACAGGTGAACCCCCAAGGAACGAAAAGGCGCCCGTATTTAGCCAAACAGTCAAGTCGGACCACAGCCAAAAGGGTAGTAGGTTCACTGCTCAGCCACATTAACTCGCCTAGTTCGGGCAAAATGCATAGCTTAAGAAGCCGTGGTCGAGGGCACTGAAAATGGCGAATGCCACTTCAAAATTCGGGAGGGATGGCGGCAGGCAAGATGAGGCCACTTCATCGTCAAAAATCCACATAACATTCTGCCCGGAAAGGAATCTAGACACGCAAAATTATGGAACAAGCAGCCAAGTAAGAGGATAGGCAAGTCCCGGAGGGTGGCTCATGTTGAGACATGCCGTTCCGAGTGGGTGCAATTATAAGGCGTGCATAGCCTATCAGCGTGTGATCTTGTTTCCCTATTTCTGGGGCAGACGCTGGTGCATCTTGAGGCGTCTGTCAGGGCCGATGCGTAGAGTTCTTAGTAAAAGGCTGAACGGAGTTTGCCGGCTAAGCTTGTTCGACAAATGTAAGAGTTGGTGATGGTCTCATGGGAAAAGGAATTTACCGGAAAGAAACGGCACCCAGTGCTCCACGACTGAGACATCCCATGACTACTGCACAGAAGTTATCTCTCACGCAAAATTTAACCTACCTGCTCAAGGCATGATACCCCAAGTGAACAGATGGTGATTTCAGTGGTACCACTGAAAAAGCAAGACGCTGTGCGAACACCGCCAACGCAAAAAAAAAGCATTCCAGATTCTCCAGCTAGCAAGCGACTCTGACAGAACAGCACACACGTTGGCGGAGGGCTAAAGCATAGATAGTTTTGCCGTATGTCCGCACATAGGCACAGCACAGTCTCCTCAAATAGCCGACGTGTAATTTCTGAGATACGCAAAAGTGGCGCCAGCTAATTTCGGACGTCTTCGAAGCAACAACCATGAAAGACACTGCCTAGCACCCAACACAGCCCCTAGGCCTCAACAGCCTTATAATGAAGCTCAGAAAACGCGTCTAGGTCGTGTGACTGGTGCTTACGATCCGATGGCTAGCCTAATTCAACCCGCATCCTGGGTCGGCCGCCGTACCAAGATAAAAATCGCCACGAAACCTGGGATGGCAAAAAATGTAAAGGTTTGAGCACAATCCGTCCTATTAGAAGCATAAATCGAATGATCATACTGATCAAACCGACTCACGGAGTAGGTGAAGGAAGCCGTCCTGTGTTATCGCCAACATCAGGAAAGGAAGATAGGACACAAATGGCGTGGTAAAGGAAGCCACTTTTAAGAAAGTGCGATCTAAGGACACACATCAGGTACCTTCGTCCACCATAGTATGAGCAGACACATGAATTACACAATTCACACTAATTACCCAGCCACAGTGAAGTTTCGAATGTTGCGAGAACGAAAAAATCCAAAGTTCCGAAAGCATGGAATAACTACTAAGCTAGACGCAAGTGTCATATTCCCATCTGACCGAATCAATACGAAGGCTCCTCAACCAAGTCTGGGAGAAACGTCGTCCACTAAACATACACGATCCACAAAAACGGATGTTGACAGGCATATGAGTAGAAGCGCAGTGAGGATGGTGGGTGAATGCACTGCACCCACATAACTTGGGCCGATTTACGCAAGCAAATTTCTAATTAGCGAATAGGGATTGCAAAGTGTCGTGCTAAAAACCTCAAACTGCCCGAACTTTTCGAATCCGAGTCTAACGGGCCTAATGTTGAGGCCAAATGTCAACAGAAATTAGGTGGGTGTGGGGTGACCGAAGGTTTACTGCTGTTCGAAAGTGTGTCTTATAAAAAGGGAAGGCCCGAGCAAGCCCCCGAAGCCGTCCAACAGGTATGAGCTTCTGTGTACTTCCGCTGACAGGAGGACCCACCGACTAGAGAATTTGTACCACTGTGTACGGCTAACAGAGGTAGGCTGATTGCTTAACGCAGTTGTCCGTATACAAACGAAATCAATTAGCACATGAAAAAAAGAAAGACACATACACCCGCAGACAACCATAGACGCACAACCGTGTAAAACGACGCGGATAAAACAAAGTTATATAAATATTGTAAGGGGAAAGCGTAGATGCGGGGGTGGAAAACAAACATGGAAAGGAGGATGAGATCGATAAAACGCCTCGTTTTATTAACATGCCTGCCAACAGAAGAAACCAACAATATACATTGCAAAAGACGAGTTTTCGCGTTTTGATGCCGTGTGCAGTGTTGGTGAGATAATAAAGGCAGAACAGGACCAGTATTAACTCGGAGGTCGCAGACTAAAGGCTGGGTAAGAGTATGAGGAGAAAAATGGGAGCAAAACAGCCAAAACAAAGATAATATAACCAGTTGTGACAAAAACTACAATTCAAAAGGACATTCATATGTATATACGAATACAATAGGCAGGGGCGATCGCTTCTGTGGGCTTGCACGTGGAAATATTACCCAAGAAGAATGGACTTCAAGTAGGTGGTGGAAAGTGGTACAGGACGAACACATAAGAACGCTAGGAAGTAGAACTAGTTGGGGGGTCCTGTGCACTGACAATCACCACGCGCCGTGATGTTGTGACCGCTGGCGGTGTGCCTGCGGAGGTCGTTGCGAGGGTTTCCGCCGCCGTGACCAAGGTTTCCGCAGGGACAGCTCCCGGTGCGACACGGACGCAGCTGCGCGCCTTCAGTACAGCCGTCTCGAGAGGAAAAGAGCCCAGGGTAGCAACCGCAACAGGAGCGGTCGGCGCCTCGTGGTCTCCACCTCCTGAGGCCGCAGACTGCTGCGACTGTTGGTGAGTAGCAGCTACTCTCCTGCCAACAGAGGACTGTTGAGTAACCACGACGATAGGAGAGGCATACTTGATTGTCTTTACTGAGGCCATGGTGGATGAGGCGGGGGAAGAGGAGACGGTTGTGGACGCTACGGTGGGCAAAACACGGGCACGCTGTTGACCAAGCGACGCCACCGACACTGACACACTGGTGATTGGGACTGAAAGGCGACAGCTTGAGCCGTTGCCGACAGACTCGGCAGACGTCGTCGTTTGGGGTGGGATGAAGCGCGCCAACGATGGTGTCGTCGTATTGCTATTTGCCGGCGCAACATTGTGGGCACTAGCAGTACTTGTAACGGTGGCGGTTGAAGTAGCGGACACAGCTTGTGGTTGCTGCACTTGCAGGGCTGCATAGCTGAGCTGAGCAACACCAGGGTTGGCAGGTGCTATGGCCGAACTGTTTGACGTTGACTGAATGAGATTAATGAGGGGTTGTTAGGTATATATGAGCGTGTAAATCAAAATGTGTCACATGCATGTATGGCAATAGTAACTGACTCACGCCGACTCAGAGCAGCCCGACAAACATAGGACAATGTGATCCCCCCTTGACACTGCGATGTCTGTTAGACCGGGGTCAACACTACGCTGGGCACAGTGCGCAATCTCACCACCAGTTTTCCAAGGGGTTTGGACTGGTCACTAATACATTAAGGTGGGGGGGGGCGAGTCCTGGAAATGCTTTCTCGTAAGAAGTCGGCGTATTTTCCATCATACTAAATCTGACGCAATCGAACCTGTCAGTGATTTTGGTAGCTACCACTTGAAAAGATAATTTGGGCCTCTCAAACGAGTCCGTCAGCATTCTTTGATCTATCCTTTATTCCAGCTCTCACCGTCTGGGGCACGAGTTAGACAGCGACTTCGTGTCACGTATGTCAAAGTACCGAATCTCCTCCCCAGTCAGTTTAACTGGGAAAAAGGGGAGAAGAGAATGAGGTCAAGCTACCTCAGGTTAAAAGTTCGGCTCATCGATAAACAAATGCGCGAGCAAGTCACAGTTGCACCTACTTCGTGAAGCAATAGTGGAATCCATCGACTGTGACGCCGGACATCAAAAGGCAGTGGCCTAGCGCAAACGCAGACCTAACCACAGAGAAACCAGGAAAAAATGCTAGTACACCCACTGCTATCTCGCAGAATGCTGGATAGGATGTGTGGCTTTAGATACCGTGGCAAAAGTGTACTGGATACAGCTGCCGGACAGCGTCTTTACCATGGATTACTTAATCCTATAAACAAGCCGACCTGACTAGTGCAAAGCGAAAAAAGCTTGTGGTTGGCAATAGACGCCAAAGAAAAGGGTGATGATTCGAAACTTGCCCCGCAAATTAAAGGCAGCCCGAAAAATGAATCGGAGACCCTCCCCGAATTAAGTGGTCGTAACTTTTCACGCCACTTCTCCCGATATCAACTAAAATAGGCGCGGCCGTAAATGGATGCAAAATTGATTTGGATACTGTTCAGAGGCCGTTGATCGCCGGCCGTTGTTTTATGTATGCGTGGTTCCCAGCAGCTGGGTTTCTTGCCAACGTGTACTCAACATGGTTTTCATCAGACCTGGTCCAGATAGCCTACCTTTTCAGGCCCTTTTAAAATTTTCGGTGCTACCGAATTCCCAACAGTCAGTCGGGTTGTTATTTCCAGGTCGCAACCGCAAGGCAGAGGCAACAAGAGAATCCACTTAGCAGTGTTTTACGGTCTACAGACCGCGGGTGTCACTAGGCTTTGTGGCGTCTAGAGAGAAGTCGGTGCGTCGCAGGTCAGCATTCAACGCTCTGGTACCACGTCCATATTTAGCAGGGTCCATAAAGCTTATGCTCAACTTTTACTACTATGGAAGCTTTAATTCCTATATTTAAAATAGTTGAATGCAACATAAACGTTTTTTTTAAATGGCAGGTGCGTGGAGTCGTGGTTTTTGATAACTCAGGTATGCCTTGTCTACTCTTGTGATTGTAAGCGATCTAACAAGGCACGAGTGCGTCCGACACTTTAAATAGTCTACAATTTCTAACAACAAAGACGCTTGCTTGTTGGTGCGAGCCGTGGGTGGCACCAATGTGTGCTACCAATACCGGTCGGTTGTAAAGGCCACTTTAGTGTTCATCCGCTGAAGGCCTCATCCCCTCCACGTTAATGGATGAACACCCGGAATTCAACATCGAGTACTGGGGTGATGGAAAGCTGCTCAACATTCTGAGTATGTGCATATAAACACGTCTCCATGGATTAGATTAACTACTCTAATTCTTTTAGTCTACCGATGCGCAGGCTTCGGACTAGTCATCAAGACAGAGAAAAAGGTGATCGTATGTCAAACAGTGCCAACTATAGGATAGGCTTAATTTACTTCCAGTCAGCATTCGATGACCTGCTGCTGATGATAATTTTTGTCCCTTGGGAGACTCAATCTCGAAGGACGTTACAATTGATAACGAAGACGTAGCCAGAATCTGCATAATTAGCGCAGTTTGCACAGGCTACAATCGTCACACTGATGTCGCCGAGACACCTTGTGCAGCATCAGATTGAAGACATAAAAGACCGTGATGCCCCCTACGTTGCTCACCAATACGGAAACCTGGATCTTCAAATAGCGCAATGCGAGAAAACTACCTCAATTCCGGCTATTTTCAGACACTCTTGAAGGTTAGGCAGGAGAAAAAATCTTCGTACAGCTAGGTCCTAAAAACTCGCATGCCTAATATCTTTCAGTTAGAGCAAATTCAAGCTTTATGGAGCAACCATATAACAGGGATATCGGATGAACACCTTCCAAAACAAACACCCTATGACACCTTCGTTACATGTATCCACAACGAAGAATGACAAAGGCAACCCTATAGATGCATTGTAAGTCTCATTCAAATATCTTGGCAAAAATCAGGACTCCAGAAAAACACTCGCAGAGGGTCAATAGCGTGGCGAGTGTCCATCAAAACGGAATCATGGCCTCCATGGTCAGCGGAGTACACACGGCCAAGAGCACGAAAATGGAGTACCAAGAGACAACACTATTAACGTTCAACCTTTTCCAACGTACTGTCGCTGCCAGCACACATTCGAAGCCACGAAAACAGCATGCGCACTACGCCAAAGAACACTGCGCGAAACTATTCAACCAGAGAGGTAATGCGACATCAATCCAAAGAACGCCAAACAACACCGAACAGACCAAAATGGTCCGTTTACTCCGGAGGTGTTTGCAGATTAAACAGTGGGTGCAAATGGTGGTATCTGGTGGAACAGCCGTGACACCTAGGTTCGAGCACACTGTCATCAACTACCACTTACCTCGATCCACCGTCTACCACAACTTCACTCCTGCGTCTGTCTCACCTGGAAGACGTGTCCAACTAGACACTGTCTACCCACAGTGACTGTTTCCTGCCTAATCTAATAGTTCGGACCCCTTTCCATGCAACTACCATGAAAACCCTCCACCTATAACTCTGTTGAGAGTGCCTACACTCCCAAAAACAAGAGCCAGCTAATCACTGGAGGCCACGTGCGTTTTCTCGAGCGTGCTGTCAGCATGATCGTGGCGCCTCGCCATTGGCTGCTCCCCTCGAGTCTGATCGACTCGTGTATGCGAGTAATCGAACAGTTCGTCTAGAATTTTCTTCTCGCAGTTCACTGGCCCGAATGCAGGCGAATCCCAGTATGATATTATAAATACGCTTAACTTTCCAGTTAGACTTGACTTGCAGTTTCCTAATACACTTCCGTGGTTGGACGTGTTCTCCTTCTCTGCCGCGTTGGTATTGGGGACATGAGTCGAGGGCGCATATGCTCCACGTGATTTCAAGTACCAGGCTGGGTCAAAAAAACTCAAGCAGGAAAAACTGCCTGACAATGATTTTCATCGACTACCGGCGTTATTTGGTTAATACATCAAGGTCGGGTCCTGCATGCAGATTCTGAGAACCTCGTTCCTACGCCATGCACACACTCGAACGGTTGGAAAGTTCTGCCAAGTCGGGCTACAGTCTCCCACATTCCTTCTTACTCCTTTCCTTGAATATAGATTCAGGGGTAGTCGACAGCCGATCGTAAGACACGGTATTCTGCCTGTTTTTACAAACAATTCATGGCCTCAGTGCCGAAGTAAAATTAGGATCTGAGTAAGAATTTCAGTTTCGAGCACAAATTTCGTATAGCTTAAGTGTCGTATCAATGATTCTTTCCGAGAATGAAGGATGAACTTAAGCCAAGGGGGTAACCCAAGTAATTTCACCAGAGTTCTTATCACGGTGAAGTTGTCAGGACTAAGAACGCCAGTCGAACTGTGGGCGATCACTCGCCGCAGGTGACCACCATATGAGTCTATTCCTACCATTTTAATAATAAGTCCGGCGGAAATACTTGTAATAAAACAAAAATAGTGCTCCCTTAAACCGCAGTATGCCACGTCCATGCATGGAGCCGTTTTATTTCAATTCTAGAACTAAGAATTATGAAAAAAAGCATGCGATGAGCAGGACTTGAAGACCTCGCAACAAATCAAGACTACAGGTGGTAGTTGGACTAACCGCATCTGTCGAGGGGCTGTCCTGCGCGAACACTCGTACGACTGGGCATCCTGTACTAGAACCGCCACTAGGAGATGTGGCTGACGAACCGCTATTAGAGTTAACTGGCTGGGCTGTGGAGGCCACGAAACGCACGTTGAAGCCGCCGGTACCATTGGCACCACCACCAGCGCTGTTGAATGAAGCAGCCTGGCCGAAGGATGCGGGCGGACCAGCAGTATTGGGGCCACGTCCGAAGGCAGTAACGGCCGCGTACTCGTCTTCATCAATGAGTTGGCAGTCGCGACTTAGGTCTTGGATCTGAAGACAGGAAACACGGTAAAGGCGGTAGTCCTAACGCTGAAAGCGCTGCGAAAATATTATCAAGTGGCTTAGCTGGTAATGAGTGACGCCCGATAAACAATGGAACTTTCGATTCTACATGGAAAGCGTCAATGAAAGATAAATTGGAGGCTGACACCCAGCAATCTAAAATAATGAGACCCAAACAGCACTTGATCTCCAACCAACTGGAAAGTACCGAACAACAGATACTTAAGGAAGCTGTCCATATAAAGTACTTTTTATCAATGTTTGCTACAATTACCGGAGGTAATTGTGGCATGATCGTAGATAGCGTTACCGTCGTCTAAAGCCTGCCTTGCTTGCAATAATGGCCAAATTTAACCCACAAAAATAATATCAAAAATGGGCACGTACTCTTTTTGAAGCCTTTATGTGAGATCTGTGTTAATCAATTTCCCTGAACTATTTCCAATCAAACTAGCAGCCAGTGAGTGGCCACTTCTCCTGGTTCTTTGATGAAGCCATAATCGGGTTTAAATGACAGACATGCTCTATGGATGAGTCAAAACCTGGTAGCAAGCTTGAAATACCCGTCAATAAATCAACGGGCGAAAGCGAATCAGATAATCCTTCAAAAAGAAGCTACCAAGAAAACTTCCTTCAGATTTCTAAGAGCAAACGAACCGACGGGTCGTATTGCTTTATCAAGCATGAACAGTATAGGTAGCCTTAGCATGTTTCCCGGTAAACAGAAGTTGGGATAGTCAGACAGACGGAAAACACGGGTCAGACCTGGGAAAACGAGAGATCTGGCTCAATAGAGGTGGGATTGTTTCTATTCCTTCACCAGCCGTGTCACATTTTTCGAACCGATGATATACAGTCGGTGATGAAATGTTAACCGAAATTCTGAAGTGCGTTTTCGACTCGAAAAGACTACTGAACTAAATTTCTAGCAATAATTAGTGTGAATCACATGATATTTGAGACATGAGGGGATGTCGGCTTTCGAACGAACTCCTTCCTGTCCGCAAAAACACGACTTGATAGGGAGTGACTACTCAGATAGTATGCATTTTTCCTATTGAATTTCGATGCCCTAGTAAATCCAATTGTATCTTGCGGAAAACACGCACGAGAATATTCTTTCTCTCACCCATTTGGTAGAAAATCAATTCTTCTAATTTAATACTTAGGTCTTAAAGTGTTTCAGTCCCCGAATAATTCAGAGTCCGATCTGCCGTTGCATTTGCTTTTAGAGTTATCAGTCTGCAAACTGCATATTTTTCGTTTAAGGAAAATCACGGATTCCTAGGCCATTGGGAATATATCAAATAATATTTATAAAATTTGCAATGGGTGGGTGCTATTGTAACGTCCCTTGACCTGAACAGGGTTGCTTGAGTGCTGTGACACTTTTGGCGCGGACCTGGGATGGAGATGGTGTAACTGCGTGCTGGTGAAGACGGCCGGTGTCCCTTCGTCTCGCTACCGCCGACACCCCTCCCCCGCAACACACCGTCGCCCTCGTCTCTCTCCCACTCAACGTCGGCTCCTCCCCTCGGCCCTGTCCTGCAGTTGCCCACAGCGCTGCATCCCCACCGGCTGTTTAGCTAGTATGTCAGGGACACCTATCCATCCAGACAGGTAATCTATTCGCAGTTTCTCATTCCACGTGTACACTAACGTTTATTATACACATTCTCCGTACCCATGTTGTTCTATTATACTATATCCCATACTTGATGTGCTTTCTTCTCCTGCGTGTGAATGAGTCTCAAGAGATGCTGACAACTCTGTTCAGGTCTACCTCTGCCAGGACCTCTTCTCAGCGTTTCCCTACTTTGGTGTGTGCTACCCTTGACGTCCTCGGCCGCTACACTATGTCGCATACTACATAAGGAGCACTAATAAAAGGCAGACACGATGCTAGTTGAGCGGACATTGCACGGTCCTAGAAAATCGCCTAGTTAGAAACTCTCCCAAAGCCTAACAATACCCCTTCTTCGAGTATGACTTGAAGAGGACGTGTTTGACTACTAAGTGGATACAAGAAAAAATATCTTAGCGCAATTTTCCTGAAAAATATGTTTGCATTGGTAAGAGCATCTGAAAGCAATAGCAAAATGCGTACTACTTGAGCAGTAATTTTTTGCAGGCGGTCGAAAAAACGTGCATTCAAAAGTCGGCATCCTGGCGCAGCATGTTGTATGGCAATCAATTTCGTAACTTCACGTAGGTTATCTTTCCTAATCAAAAACGAATTTCAGAATTTCGGCCAACATTTCATGAGATCGGTCACTGTACCTGAAAAATCACGTTCGTCACAACAGAACTTGGCAAATATATGCCTCAGTATCACACTGGGAACATCATAAGAACTGTATGCGATTTTTTCAGGAACGTGAAGATTGTAGCAATTATTGATCAACATGCCTGTCTATCTAAGGCCTCGTTCTGCCGGGTCAGTGTGTCCACACAAAGGGTGTGCTCTCGGTTTCGTCTGTGCAACTCTTCAATGTATTCCACGGCTCTCTGTAAGGTTACAGCGCGGGAGGCCTTGGAACCACGGAGGCCAGGAATCGCCTCGCGAAGATCACTATAGCTGCCCTTAATACTTGCACGACGCTTTCTTTCCAGGTGATTGTGGTGGTCCCGTCTGAGTAAAAGAAAAAAAAATCGAGATCAATGAACGCTTGGGAGTGCCACCCCGCCAAAAGCGCTAAATTCATGAGTGAGGCGAAAGCAGGTAAATATGGGCAGTCCAAGTCGGCTACTTGTATCTGATAAGTGAAATGAGTTAGAAATGCCTATGAGGTATGGAGTCGAAGACCGCTTTTTTCCAATGCCTAGTTAAAGGATAACAGACTGATTTGTGGGGAGGATCTACAGCAGCAATTACGTGCGATTTTTGAAACATGCTGCCTATCCCCTGATTCGGTCTGGTGGGCAGTTCATTCCCCCAGTATAAGTGACTAAAAAGTGGTTTAGAGCACAGCTTATGATTCCGTCGCAGATAAATGTACGAACATACAGTAAAGTAACAATCATAACTTTTAAGGTCTAGGTCCAAAATTTTCAATGTTCAAGCGAAAACGTACCGAATTCATCAACATGACTCCGCAAATCTGCAAACCTGTAAGTATTGATAAATATCATATACACTTTGAAAAGTTGAGCACGTGCCAGCAGTTACGTACAGAACGCCCAGAAACCTCGAGTGGCGTCGTGTAGCAGCAGAAAATCGGCAAAAGGTGCCCGAGTTTTTGGCTAGTACCTACAGTAGGTGTGCTAACTCACGATATCTTAGCTGAGATTCTGAAATGCATTTTCGAATCGAAAGGATTACTTAGGCAAGGTTTCGATGTTCGTCACTTTCCAGCACAATCCCAAAATATTTCGGTTACTTCGGGATGCCGGCTTTTGAATGAATTTTATCCCGTCCGCCTGCAAAAACCACACTGTAAAAAAGGACTATTTAAGTAGTACGCGTTTTCTCATTTATTTTATATGCCCTTACAAATGCGAACATACTTCATTAAAAACCCGCATAGAGATATTAATTATTTTTTAAAAGATGACGAAGGCACGATCACTGGGACAGTAGATTTATTTGCCTGAGCTTTCGAACCTGGGATGTGCATATTCTCTTCCATTCATTATTTTACTCATTTGGTAGAAAGTTGCGTCTTCCAATTTCATACTTGGGGAAGGGGCATAATTCAGTCTTAAAAAACTTTTCCAATTCCCGAGTAATTTTGAAGGTAACCCGTCGTTACACTTGCATCCAGGGTTTCCAAACTACAGGATGTATATTTTCCTTGTATGGAGAGTCACACGCCCCTATACGCTATTAAAAGGCCATATGGGGTTCGTAAAATTTAGGAATAGGTTTGGGCAATACGGCAAACTTTGCGAGCAACATTAGTAAATGCAGAGAAACGATGTTTTATGAACGGGCATTTCACGGTTTTAAATCTCATAATTAGAAACCTTTTTAAAACCGGATTATACCTTTCTTTAAAGTGCGAAATTTGAAGACGTAATGTTCCATCAACTGAGTAAAAGAATGGATGTTTTTATGCTTGTTTTTTATGAAATATAAGTGAATTTATAGAGGCATGGAAACTCAGTGAGAAAAAGTCGTGCGACTTAAGTAGCCACTTTTCACGACGAGTGGTTTTTGCAAGCAGCCGGAAAGAAGTTTGATCAAACGCCGGCATCCTGAAGTAACTGTGGGATTATTCTGCATGATCAATATTAAAAACCTATTTAAGTAATCTTTCCGAGTCAAAAACGCATTTTAGAATTTCGGTTAACATTTCATGAGTTAACACATCTGCTGTTTGTCGATAGTATGGTGAGGCGCGTCTTCCAAGTACTAAATACTACACTGCAAAAAGACTGTGCAACATCATAACTCATCAACTTCTTCAGTCAGACTTTGGTTGTGTGATGAGATGGAGCAAAACTTGACGACACCTAATATTGGTTAATTGCAAGTTCACTTGTCAAACTGACACTAAACTGGTACGGAATGCCGAGGATTGCAACTGGGCGTTGTCATGAAGCCAGTTTTGATGAGTCAACAACGCCAACAACAATGTCAAAACAATGGGTGCCGATGATATGTGACGGGGATGCAAAGCACGTTCCGGTTTCGGCATGCTTTTCCCGAATGCGTATCATCTGCAAGATGGGAATTTGTGGAAGGCGAAAAGTGGCGATTGGCTTCTTGGTTGTCACGGTGACCTACCCTCCACCCCCCACCCTCCAGGAGACAACTCTTTGCCTGACACTCAAACGGCAGTCTAGATAAGTTGAACTACATACTTGTCCGAACGCGCTGGGTATAGTGCGTTAGACTTTAGTACGATGCGCGGCGCACACACCTGGTTGGGCTTTCTAGAGTGCTAGAGTACGGCTCAGACTGCACTGTCCAAAAGGCACAACTTGCAAAAAAACATGCTTTTGACAGCCTTAGGGTTCCCGCCTATGTCAGAGGCTTCTGCCTGACTTCCTCGAATGACTTCAGTGCAGCGAAATAGAGAAGAGCAGCCTCAGCGGCGTCCATCGAAAAGCTACTTCGAATTGCGGCACGCCGCAACAAGTATCACCGCAAAAAAATGAGATCTTTTACGAATTGATCCAAGAGGCTAAATGGCGACAGGAACTTCCCCCGCTTGAATCGTGAGATCACGTGTCTGAGCGACATGATCGCGAAACTGCAGCAAACTTTACTGGCAATTTGTATTAGGAGAGAGAACTGGTTTACAGGCCTAATTCACTTCAACAATACGCCTGTCAAAACATCAACACGCGGCAAAGACACGAAAAGAGCGCCCATGGGAAGATAACTTTTTTGCTTCTGCAGTGGCAGTCCCTGGGCTGCCAAGTTCCGTTCCAGCACCCAAGAAGAAATGCAACTTCAGTTCACCATCTACCGAGATCCTCAATGCGACAGAAAAACCGAGAAGTCAGGTGCCCGGTAGTGGCTGCCCATCGGTGGAGATCTACTGTAACAGCCAGAGGCCTAACCGGACGCCCGACCTTGGTTGTTTAAAAGGACACTCACGCCGGAGTGAGTTTTTTTCCGTTTTGCAGGGATCATGTTTCCGAGGTCACGTATGGCGAACGGCCTCCTACCAACCTACGGCAAGTCGTTTTGGTCATTTGTCCGTTTCCATCCAATTCCTTTTTTGTAATAGTTGCCCATTATTTTTATAGTTGGTAATAAATCACATTTCTCCATTTACCATCCTACTTCGCATGATGTTCCGAATACCTGTATCTCCTGACTTTGCACATTTCGAGATTCAATAACTTTTAGGCAGGATCTTCGAAGTAGTCGGTCTTTCTGGGATTAAACAATCCACACCTCCCTCCAATACCGTTTGCGAGTCGACGGCGCTTCTCCGATTGGACGTTACGCTACATGTGCTGCCTGATGATTATGGGGTGGGGCGCAGTGTGGAAGGTGGAGACCATGCCTACTGATCGGGGCGACGTTCTTGCAAAACCGATCTTTAGGAGGAGCGCCAGATGGCACAGGTGTCTTCAGAGTAGCCACTGAAGTTCTTACAGTCGTTCTTTACAGTTCCTGCCTATGTCCATACACGCACGAAATGTGGTCCAGCCCAGTTCTCGGACGGGGTTGTGATTCGTGGATCAGTACCTCGCTGTCGTCAGTTGCACTCAGCCCCTTTTCGTCTGCTTCGTGGGTTTGGCCTCTGCACATCAGGATCCCCTGTTCTCGATAACACTGCACAAAAGCCTACCACTGACGTTACGATGATTACTATCACACAAAGAACCGAACTCATAAGACCGAACGACACAGTGGTCTCTGACATCCCTTTAGACGTCTGGCAGCTCTGCTTTTTCAGCAACACTGTTTAAGTGTTTAGCCAAATGGATCTCTAAGTACGCATCGGCGGACTGCACCGGTGTAGTAGTATGACAAGGCCCATGTACTACGGGTCAACTACCATAATTACTGTGGAGCTTGCGAAGTTCTTCGTACAAATTCAACAGGCTCTCGCAGGTACGCTCGGAGACAGTCAAAGGGGTTTGTCATACAGCAAGCTTACGACAACAAAGATACTGGCCTCAAGTTTCGAGGTAAGAAACAGTTGCCTAATCACCTAAGACGTTAAGGATTCTGACCTATTAGACAGCACCAGCTCAGTCAAGCCTATTAACTGTCAAAGAGACGAACCAGGAGGAGGCGCTTCCCAGTGGACTCCATCGAAACCCCTTGAAACGATGTGGAATCAAAAAAAATCCAATTCAGAGCAAACAGAGTTTCTCTCAGAAATATAGAAGGAGCATGCATAGCTTGTTTGTCTGGATTTATTTGATCGACTGCTTTCTTTACCACTCACCCCGATCGGAAGGTTACCAAACTAGTCAGAAACAACCTGTCAACTGTCCCCGCTTTGCTCGTCGACCGAAGGCAAAATCGTTCAGGATGTCAGTCCGTCTGATCCCGACGCGAACTGTGACGACAGCAAGTCAATAGACTGAAAGCGTGGGCCAGTGAGGTAATGGCCGAACTCGAGAGCATCCCTGGTTTGCGTGTTTGGTCCGCTACTTAAATTTGTAGTGGAGTTTGCGAGTCATCGACTGCACTGGAAGGTAATCACTCCTGACAGAGTTAACTTGCAGCTTAGACTCAGTAGAGCCATCCATGATAAACGTCGTCACGTGCACAAGTCATCCCAAATCAAGCCCAGGATTAAGGCCTACCTGTAAATACGAGAACAGGAAAATATTGGGATAACATTATACACACCAGGCACATGCTCTGACAACATCGCCCAACAGGTTGGAAACACGGCTGGATCTAAGCTTCTGATTTAATGCATTTCAGTCAAATACTGCTGATTCAATCCTGCGAAAAAAGTTAAATTAGAAAACTCGGAGCAGAAGCATTTGCCGTCCACCATTGAAAACAGAGAAACAAGTAGAAGCATGCAAAACCTGTTGTCATCGGTGGGCTCGGCGACACGAGGACAGCCCTCACTTATGCTGCGATGGCGTCGCAAGTCCGCGTTTCGGCCGCCCGACTTCGAGTTGCCCGTATCATTGCAACAGTGCTGGGATCGCCCGTATGATTCCCGCTTCTCGGATCCTTCCGTGTACTCCAAATCCTCGTCATAATCACTCAAGCAATCGTACCCATCAACGTCATCGTCATCCAAATCATCATCATCGCCGTATTCTTCTTCGTAGGACTGGGGTAGTTTGGATCCGGGTCGATAGTGAGTCATGAGTCTTCACAGCATGAGTTTGATGAAGTGCCAAGTGGGCCAAAAGCTGTAAAGGGATTGATTGACAAGACCGTTTAAACCTCTGAAGAACAAAGCTTCTGGACAATACGAGCTACGATTATCACGGAAACGGTTTCTTAAGAAGTGGCATGCATACAAATTGCAGGGTAGATAGTTTTGTCTGTCACATATTTTGCTCGAAATTTGAGCACTAAGGCGAGAAGGTATACTACGGTAAGTCAACTGAGATCAGAGCAAACAGCATTTCAGGCGATGAGGCGAGAGTGTGACCAAGTTTATCGTGGATGGGTTCAGCGTCACTTCTACATGAGTTTTAGCTCGAGTCCGTGATAGGTGACTGGAGTCAGGATCTGCGAGCTTATAAAACTTTGAAGCAAGCAAGGACAGCAGAATTTAATGGCACCACAAAATTTCGCGACCGCTTCTCAACTGCTGCCGGTCGTTGCATAACAGAAATAACAAGTGAGAAAGGTACAAAGGTTTGAATTTCGACAGAGAAAATCGATGTAAAACAGCAAGGTCAACGTGTACTGTGCGTAGACTAATCGATGAAATGGTAACTTCAAAATGCAACATGGGAATGCAAATGGGGAACTAGGCATGCCGAGGGATTTCGAAACTCAAAAGGGGCTCGGGTCTACCAGGGCAAGCTGAGGTTGACCACGTGGTCTAACTGTTTACATAGGTCGGGTTTCTTCCGCCGTATATAGGCTGCCTCCAGGTAGCCCGTTATAATATCCTTACCCTTTAGGGGCGACAACATCTCAAATACCATCAAGCGGCGATTGAGATGCACTATTGAAAGAACTTACAACGCAGCTGAACTCATCTTCTACAGTTCTACTAAGGCTATCGAAGTTCCACGGGCGAAGGATGCCTTGCCATTGCACGCCACGTCAAATTGTGTTTACGAATTTACATGTACTTGTGGATGCAAGTACATTGGGCGAACGCAAAGGCAACTGGCAGCCAGAGCAGTTGAGCACTTGCCTAAATGGCTTCTAAAGCAGGAGAACAAGACTCCACGGTCTTCCATTACAAAACATCTCCTTGATAGTGGCCATTCGGTTGACCCTAAGACGTCTTTTCGAGTATTAGTTCGAGCACGAACTACTCGGTTATTGCGCTACCTGGAGGCAGCCTATATACGGCGGAAGAAACCCGACCTATGTAAACAGTTAGACCACGTGGTCAACCTCAGCTTGTCCTGGTAGACCCGAGCCCCTTTTGAGTTTCGAAATCCCTCGGCATGCCTAGTTCCCCATTTGCATTCCCATGTTGCATTTTGAAGTTACCATTTTATCGATTAGTCTACGCACAGTACACGTTGACCTTGCTGTTTCACATCGATTTTCTCTGTCGAAATTCAAACCTTTGTTCCTTTCTCACTTGTTATTTCTGTTATGCAACGACCGGCAGCAGTTGAGAAGCGGTCGCGAAATTTTGTGGTGCCATTAAATTCTGCTGTCCTTGCTTGCTTCAAATTCATTCCGGGGAAATATTCCTTCAAGTTTATAAAACTTTGCCGAATGGCGCGTCGGCCAGTGCGTCAAAAAAGGGAACCTCTTCGATCTTCTTAGAATGCGCGACAATGGACCGTTATCTAGCCAAGGTTTAAGACCTGCGATTGTTATAGGCTGCAAGTGAATATCAGCAAGATCATACAGGACAAGGCCAAGATGAACCCCTTAGCACTCGTTGTTCAAATTCCTACAACCGCCTATAAATATTTCAGGATTGAACAAGGCCTCATATTGTTATTTCTGTGTGATACCCACTACGAATAGGAATTAGGCGACAGTAACTGTAGCTAATATATTACTAAGTACTTCGAGAAGATTTGGTAAACCGTCTACTTCAAGCACAAGCAACAAGCCGAGGTTGTTGCAAGGTTAGAAACTGTTTGCTATCGCCCTTTGCAGTGAACCACTTTGAGACTTTCTCATATATGTTGGGCAAAACTTGCGTATTTTTTCCAGACTAACTTGAGCAATCACGAAAATTGATCTACGCCACCGGACATAAAAGATATATGTACACTGGCCCGGGGCCCGCCTTATATTAAAAAGAGTTCGTATGTGCTTATGCATTGACCACTATGAAACAAAAGTCTAGCAATGTCACTGCGGTAATGTTAGTGTCAAGAAAAGGTAGGAGTGGCTTCCAGCGGCGGGAAGGTGAGGCTTGCACCTCTTTAAAGAGCCTCACCAATTTAAAAAGGGTTAAGAAACTCGCACAGATAGTTGATAGACCCTCTTGTGAACCCTACGTGGTTAATGACCTCGAGAATCGCTTTTAAACATTTCAAAGATGCCTAGCTCTTATAAAAATGGCACAATTTAGGTGTGTGCAGATTATAAACACGTTTGTACATGCATTTGGGGACCAAATTAGAGGGGAACAAACACTTCAGCAAACTTTTGTGAAACAGCTGAAATGAAAAACTAGCAATAGCAACAGCCTAGCAGAAATAAGGCTTAGTCATAAAGTTCTCATTCTGAATGGTGTCGAGCCTAAGTTAAATAGTGCCTTCGGGTATGGTGATGAAGGCAAAGACACGGTCTAGAAGTTTGTGGAGTATGTCCATCAAGTCGGTTCCAGCATTCAGTTAGTTGATAGTTAAATGATACTAATCGCCGCTGGTACTTGTATTCGTGATGGCATTCCCGATGGCCGACACAAATGGCTCCATGCTGAAGTGTGGCGGACTAATGAATGATTGTCTTCCAATGCAGCCTATCAGCCGCAAATTCCAAAGGCAAGTCAACCGTAGACTGTAAATTAAAGTGTTAGAATTGTGCTCGAGTCTAGCCGCTGGCCAATCGACCCATGTCTTCAGTCGACTAATCAGTCAGGGCCGGAGGACACCTCATTTCGAGCGATTTCGCCCCATATGAGTAAGCAAAATGGAAGGGGAAGCATAGTTGTTATGTTAAGCTGCGCGCCGGAGATACGGAGGGACGGATCGTGAGACTGTTGAGCGAGAACCACCACCGACCGAGCATCTTCAGAATATATGGGTCGTGTCCAACATTCGTAGGCGAATGTATTTTGGTTGAGCTTGTTCCAATTCCTAAGGTACTGATTAAATCGATCCTCTAGCCCGGGAGCAGTGCTCTCTCCACAGGTGTAATTACCACAGGCCGTCTGCCTGGCAATTGGCTAGGGTGGACTATTGGACTGTTTATGCTCAAAATCGGACAACCCTTTGGTGTCACCATTGTCTGACGGTGTGATGCAGAGCGCATGGTCATCTGAATCAAGCATATACAATTTGAAAACTCCGGAGATGGGCAGTCCTTAACTACCGTTCAGACGAACTCTTTCGCTCGGAACATAATCTTTGCGACTACGCCCTCCTCGGCTTAGTAGTGCTTGTGGGGCGTCCTGAAGAACATGCCTCAGTTGGACACAGTTTTTGACCTAATATTCCCTGGAGGCGAACACCGTAAATATCAGTGACACTAATTGACTAGAGTGACAGAAGGAAGTTTGTAGCACCGACAAGATCCTTCAAACGTTTAAAAGCCTATTCTTTCGCGAGTCACACGTTTTAAACAGCACGTAATCGGAGCCACGGCCAAACTCCAAAAAAAATTTCGTCATGGGCTCTCTGGTGCCCCTACAAACTGCACACACCGCGCTGCCAGCCTATCGAGCTCGGACACAGGCAGGAGTGGATTTTTAATGTGGTTATTATTGGGGTTCCATGTAACAATATGCATCTCCTAGGATTTGAAACAGGTACTTATAATGGGTATTAGTTCCGTACAAGGAAAATAACAATTCTACCACTGTTCGCGCAATGGTTTTTGACTCCCTAGTGGCGGAACAATGTAAAATTTTTTCATCTCTCTCAGCGGGCCAACTTGCACTGCCAGCCGTCGATTGTCAAAGACCTCGCAACATGGGCAATTGTAAAATCTGCATGAAGACGAATAAGCTAGATGACTGACAGAATATACAGCGCAAGTTCACGCCTTCTGGCAAATCCGCGCGCTAACGCCGCGGGTACCCTCACATGTTATACACAAGTAACACGGAACCAGGAGTTACATAAGAGGCCTTCACGTAGTCAGTCACAGACCCCTCGGGATGTGGTCACGACCGAACCGGCAACATGCGCTAAAAAAACCAGACAGACGACAGAACGAGCATGTCTGCCTTGCGCGTATCGAGGTATGGTACGATACATAGCGTGCCAAGTTAGCTTATGTGGCGTGAACCACGTATCCGGTGTATTTGCGTCAATTTCAGCTTTCGTTTAGACCTACGATACGGATTTTCCCGTAGTACCAGTGCAATTTTTGCGTTGTAGTTATCTCGCCGTTTGTTTCGTCCTACATTGACACTGCCGCTGGAAATGATTATTTCTCCTTTCGTCGCCCTTGTAGTTGCCGTCTCTTGACCGCTTGTCAGACGCGCAGACGCTGAGTAGGCGTCCATGAGCCCTGCACGACACCTGGCATGGGACTCACCCCAGAGACTAGTGCGATTAATTCCTCGGCTAAACAAAACACTCCCCCTGCGTGATAGCTATCTATACGCAAGACGGTGAAAGCTTTGGCCCCAGTACCCATCAATGTGCCCAGGTACCGTGAATTCACAGTCGGCTAACTGAAAGTCAATAGACCCAATACATGCTACGAAATTTCGACCCAAAGGACTGCATTGAAATAGGATTCAGTCACCGATGAAAATGAATTGCATTTTGTACGTCAGCTACTTCGGAAACAGACAAATCTCACCACTTCTCCCGCAGGGCCACAAGGAAGGGCACTAAGTCACGTGAAATCACCCACGCAACCACCAATGGCTGACACCTCCCTCGGTCAGAGTACTTTTCAAAGTTCACGCAAGGTCATAGTTTTCCCACAGCCCCATACCCCTGCAAATTGGATGCCCTTTCATGAAGTCCCACCGTAATATGGAAATCTAAGTAATTAAAGATGTGACAAGAGAGGGAAACATAGGAGTTAAAGATAGAAAACAAGAAACATGAAGACTAACAGCAGTCAGAAAAGCGATAAAAGCCTGAACACTTTGACAGCAGGTGAAAACGAAAGGAAAAGAAACATTGGACAAGTGGACAGCAGATAGAACGAAATTCACTCAGTGTCTGTTTAGTTGGCTGGAAGACAGACGGTTCGGAATCCCTGAACTCGTATTTATACACGCACGGTCTAAGAAAGGAGGAAATGTACCTTCGAGGGCCTGCGGGGTTGTCCATCGGGAAGTAAACACCTGAAGCATCGACAAAAAATTCAGAAAGGGAGATCGTACGTGGAATTTTAAGGAAGAAGAAGGGTGAATTTTGCTCCTCGCCGTTGTATGGATGCGGGGAATTAGTGGTTTGATAACAGTTCGGCCGTCGTAGGTGTAGTGGTTATGCATTGATAGTGTGCGCAGCATGTGAGCTACAATCGTCAGACCAGGTCCCAAGTTGTAGGGAGACGATAGACAGAGGGCACCAGGATGAACGGTTCATTGTGCACAGAACCCGGAGTTGTCCTCTCAGGCGACAGTGGTCACTGGGGAAGCCGGGGCTGGTGTTGACTGCGTCCAGTCATGCCTGAGAATCCCTGAGATAGTGGTTGCAGCCGCTTTTTTAAGCTCTTGGACCAAACTCAAGTGCTGTTCAGTCAGTGTATGTTGCATTTGGCGAGGGGTGGTGTCCCAGTGGCTTGTTTTGCTGGTTGCAGCGGCTGGCACGTTCAAGTGGCGCATGGGTGGCTGCGACGCTGTGGGGACGCAACTGTGTCCGAGCTGAAGTCGGTCGAGTGGCTTCAGGTCAGCTCGTCTGGGATGGCTCATTACAAAGGGTGAATGAACTTGAGGCAGCGAGGTCTTTAACAATGACACCAGACCGGTCATGTCGGCGGCCCGCTATACAGGCGACGAAGAACCCCGTTGTCCCGAGCAAGTCGTTTTGACTTACTCGTGAATAGGTTATCGTTCTGCCTGATTTAGATCGATTGACAATGTTTTCTGATACCATACTGACAACCGAATCGATACAAACGCAAATGAATGGGTACATGCCTCTAGGACCCCTGGAAAAGAAAGAAACTTTGTAAAAACTACATCAGATGTCAACAACCAGACCATTTCATTGATTTTAAAAACGACGGAACAGATGGCGGAATCTTCTGAGGAGGAAGAAAGCAGCATTTATGCCAAAAAGAGTCAAAGGTGCGCCGAGAATTGTCGAAAAGTTATTTGCTTCTGTGAATAAGGCAAAATGCAAACGTAACTGCTTATCCTGTTTAGAGGATTCTCAGGGAAATAGGTTTCCTGCTAATTCTGACATGGCGAACCTCTGATCTGGTTTCTTCCTGTCTATGGATACTGAACAGTCGGCTTATTGTGACAGATAATAACCCCCAATGATCACACCTAGCAATCCAACTAGTACGGTTGCATTCACAACAGACGCTGTACGAAAAATTTCGCGACAGTTGCACCCCACTTTACCTATCCCTGGCGGTATGTTTGCAAAATTTCTAAATAAAATCGCAAACCAACTGATCTCTCTGATGTCTAATATCTTCGAAAATTCGATTGAGCCAGCATTAGCCTCATATAACGAGGGAGCAAGAGGTCATCACCATATAGTTCTAGACGAGTGACTCTTACAAGTATCTGATGAAAACCGATAAAAAAGATAATAAAAAGGGCTAATAGAACAACACAAATTAAGCGACTTATTTAGCCTGTATCGTCATGGTTTTAGAGGGAGTCGATCCTGTTTTACTTACTTGCTCATATTAATGGTGAGCTGGACAAAATTAATTCGAGTTTATTTTGCGAATACTCTCGTGTTACAATTGAAAAGTCAATTGAGCGAACTCGTGTTTTCGGTATTTCGTCATCAAGCCAAAACAGTTACATGGAAGTTGAAAATATTCAAAGTTACAGGGCTCATAAGTGAATAATGGGCTATTAACAGTCATGGTTCCCACGCCACCCGCACGGCGAGGCGTGCTATGGGGCGGTCGACGTGTTATGGTCATTGGGGCAAGGGCACAGGGAGAGGGGAGCCTATGTCATCCATCCCCCTCGCCTCCTTAACCCAATGACCGTAACACGCCGACCGCACCATAACACGCCTTGCCAAGCGGGTGGTTCGGAACGATGAGTGTTAATAGCCCCAATTCACTTATGAGCCCTGTAACTTCGCATATTTTCAACTTCTATGTACCTGCTTTGGCTTGATGACGAGATACCGAAAACTCATCTTCGCCAAATTGACTTTTCAAATTTATTTATTGGTAGGGGATATACATCCCCTTTACCAAGGCTTTTGACAGTATTCCACACAGACGGCTTGCATTTAAATTACGTCAAATATGTGTGAATGAGAATATACTGAAATCGCTGGTCTACTCCGTTACAGGCAGACTTAAGTGTGTTTATATTGATAACACTGAACCGGAATGGGCAACCGTTCACAGCGCCGTTTCGCGGCGGGGCTTCATGGGTCCTATCTTGTTGTAATATACGCAAACGATCACCTAGACCGCCCGAATTGCAAGAGAGCTACGCTTGCCGATGATCGTAAGTAGTAGAATCAATAGAAAAGCCGGATTTCGCCCTAAATGGCTACATAACTTAGTTCACTTCCAACAATGGTGTGGTCGGTACGGCAACCTAAAATTTATTAACTGCAAATTTATTCAACTACTATCTGTCCACGGGAGGTGTTTTGAATGTCACTACTTTGTTAGAAGCGCCCATTTCAGTCAGTAAAATAAGTGACTTTTGTTGTTCGGATGACGTTTACTCCGAAACCACAGTCTTCTGTGCCAAGTTGTCAAAGGAGGTCACGGATTTATTCGCGCGATCAGCTGACCTTTTTGGCGAAGAACTTTTCGATAGAGCGTTTGAAACGTTTGTTCGGCCAAAGGAGAATATTGCGTTCGGGCTTGGCTGTCCCGGTTAAAAGTGATTATGCACTTGTGGAAAACGTGCGACGAAGAGCAGCCAAACTGGTTGGCAGATTAAGATACATAACGTATGAAAGGCGACTGAAAAGACCAAAAATATCTCTCTCTCTTATAGACAAAACGAAGTTAGTATTATAATTACCTTTAGGACTGTCAGAGCGCTAAACGGTGCTCTTTATATTTCTGAATTCTTTGAAATGGGGCGTGCAGGCACTTTTGGAGGCCACGAAAGTGAATTGATGACGGACTATGCCAAACTTTAAGTGCGGGACAAATTTTCCTCCCACTGGGTTCGGAAGTTGGAACAAACTTCCGAATTGGACTGCCTTGGCGGAAAATGCTGAAATCATCAAAAGAGGACTTATAAATAAGTAAATAATAATTTTATTCAGGACCCTTTGGGGTACCGTCATAGTATGCTAAAACAAATTTTCATATGAATTTTAGAAGAGGTGGGAAGAATCTATAAAAATGCCACACGTAGTTATTGAATAAGTAGCCCATTAAGAAAAAATGATGGGCGAGCAGTGAAAAAACTTCATTAAAGAATAGAGCTTAGCAAATTCAAATTTGTTGGTGGCATTTTTACTTGGCATCAGTACCCAATACCAAACTTCCTCGTGTAGGCCATGCTTACATTCTAAATGATCGTCAAGATAGACGTGATCGAGGAAGCCCCATCTTTGCCATTCAAATGCTTGTGTTTCTGCCGCTGGAACCTCCGCATTATTCCTCAAGAGAAGGAAGCTGCTGGCATCGAGTTTATTTTTAAAAAAGGGTGTGCTTTAGTTGTTGGTCATGTCTATCCACCTAACGCCAGTGATGATTTTAATCTTCGTCGTCCGCAGGCATTAAATTCAACGACCAAATTAATTTTTAAGCATCTGTTCGATGCCGGGGAATTTAGACTAAATGAAGTCCACAGGTTTCACATTCCGATCCGCGCAGCTCATTTTCGAAGATAATCGTAGCTTTGCCTTTACTTTGATATTCCTAGGCAATAAATTCCAATTTTTTTATTCGAGTCCCTCTCAAAAGTCGCTTTTTGTTTTCGGGTATAATTTCCCCCAGTCTTGTTAGACCGTCTGGTAAAGTAGCCGTATTTTGCAGAGCGTTATTTTAGTGACGTCGTGTCAGACCTGCTCTTAATGGTTTTGTAGTAAATTAACCACAGTATTTGCTATTCTGTGCGTTTTGTTGTACGTCAGCAACGTTTCGACCCTTTTACTGCAACAAAACCTATCCAGTATCTTGTAATACTCCGAATGGCACGTGCTGAAAAACGCAAGCTCGCGGCTCCCCTGTCGTCTCTGGGTGCTGGAATCGTGGTCACAGACAGAGCGGGCGCCAGCATGTGTTCGCTACCCTCTATAAATATGAATACTCAAAAATCGCGTTAGTCCATGTAGAACCTCTTGACCCTTTAATTGTTCAAAACTAGGCCTCTGTTAGTCGTAACGGAACATCATCTGATGAAGCACCAGATCAGTTTATATATGGGGATATAAGCAGTACATTTGAAAATTAATTGAACAGGCGTTTGGAGTTATTGGAGCTCAATTTCAAAGACAAGTGAAGCTTTGCATTTATCTGGATAGTCTTAAGCAACTCATGCTTGTTTTTTACTTGAGCCCCTTTTAAAAGTCGCCTTTCAATACAAAATATAACTTTTCCCAGTTTTATTTGACAGTCTTGCAAAATAGTCGTATTTTGTAAAAAAAAAACCTTTGCAGTGACTCCTTTCCCTACTATCTCTTTCTATTTTTCGTAGTTAAATAACAGTTGCACTTGCTATTAAGTGCGATTTTCCGTACGTTGGCAACGTGTTGACCCTTCTTCTGTAAAGAAAAACGTTTCCCGTCTGTAATGCCCCGCAGAGCACGTGCTAAAAGGCGAAAGCTTGCGGCCTCCCCACCGTCTCTGGTTGCTAAAATCGTGACCGAAGACAAAGCAGGTGCCAGCGTATGTTCTTCGCCGTCCGCAGATCTCATTAACTCACAAAACCCTTTAGTACATTTAGAACCTCTTGACCCTTCAGTCGTCAAAAAATACGCCTCTGCTGGTCGTAGCAGGCCATCCGCCAGCGAAATAGTCGACCAGTTGATTTATGGCGACATAAACAGCACTTCTGAAAAAGTAATTGAACAAGCTTTTAAACTTACTGGGGTAATTAGTTCGGAAACTGAGGAAAGAATTAAGCGCAAGCATAATTTCGTACTGCGAAACATTCCGAGCCACTTATCTGCTATGGAAGGAGCGCATGTTTTCCTACAAAGTTGTGGCTTCAGTTTCAGTGTCGCACAGGCTAAGCGAATTCGCTCGCTTAGCCGTAATGCGTTGATACTAGTTAAACTTTTCTCCATGATTGAAGTCGATTTTATCTTGTCGAGTAGGGAGATAACTAGAGACTTCTGCCGTAAATGGCGCTGCTCCGTTTCGCCAGACCTCACACCGCTGCAACGAAGACTGAAGAAATTGAAATCGGCAAAAACCAGCACCAAGATAAAGACACCTACTGTCAGTCTGAATAAGTCCTCTACAACACCATCTGCGGCATCTGCACATCACGGCATAGTCAATTCCGTAGGGAATTCGACTACTTTTAATGCTCACCTCTTTCAACACACCATCACGCCCGGTATAAATACTCCATTATCGACTCCCCCAGCAACCCCTAGTAAGCCTAAGCATGTATCTAAGTCAAAGGCAAATCCATTTGCTGTCTCAGCCACTCGGACACCCAATAAGTCCAGCACCATTATAAAATATTTTCCTCCACAATCGGCTAACAATGCCTCAAATACCCCGACTCAAAACGTAGCGGGTTCGCAACTGCCCCCAGCCCTTATATCGAGGCATTTAGGCCGAATATGCCGATTTTTTCCGCCGTTTAATAAAACTCTTGCTCCAATGGAAACAATGCGTCCCCCACCCCCTAACTTGTTTCCTCCACGGCCGTTTTACCAATTTATTCCTCATGATAATGTCCACACTGAATCAGTTATTTCATCCTATCCTCAGTTTCGTTCCGGCGGGAATACGTTGCAGTATCTGGCCCGCGGATTTCCAGCTGAAAATAAGTTAGCTAACAATGGTTACCAGTTTACCTGTCCGTCATTCCCTCCCCCAAGTCCTACCCCTTTTCATCCACGTCAGAAGTTTTCGATGCCACAAATTTTTTTGCAAAACCGGATGGTTGCATGCGGAACGTATGCTCCGTGGGCAGCCCAGAACTGGACGATGTAGCCCACTTCCCTCAGAAACAAACAGCCTTTCCCTTCAAACTGTTTGTTTTAAATGCCAGATCCTTGCTTAATAAGATGCCTTTGCTTTAGACTCTGGTGTTCGTCCATTGTCCTGATATTGTTTTAGTAACTGAGACGTGGGCATGAGCCTCCGTTGTTGACTCCGAACTCTCTCTTCCAGGCTATAATTGTATTCGAAATGATCGCCAAGATAGCCGTGGTGGGGGCAGCTGCGTTTACGTTAAGCAAACACTTACATTTTTGCCGTTGGACCTCCCGCATTTTTCCGCAGTAGAAGGCAGCTGCTGGCTCCAGGTTGCACTAAAAAATAAGTTCTCCTTACTCGTTGGCTGCGTCTATCGTCCTCCCAACGCCAACGACAATTTTGATCGTTTACTCTCACAAGCATTTAATGCTGCGGCCGACTCAAGCTTTAAGTATCAATTGGTTGCGGGTGACTTTAACCTCCCCGAAGTCCGCTGGTCTCCGCCTTCAGGCCCAAAAAGGTTCAAAGACTTTCTTGAGGCTGTGGATGTTGGAATGTGGAATCAGGTTGTCGATTTTCCCACCCGAGT